TAAGGAATAGGAAAAAGAATAAACACACGGATTCAATTCTTTTGGTGATTTCTAGCCACTGCAAGATTTTGTTTGGAAACTTTTAACCTTGGCGAAAAAATAAGATAGACCGAGTTGTCTTTTGCCAAGTTTGCTGCAAGAAAAGTGGCTGCCGCTGTGCGAGGAATTTTCTGCTTGTACATAGCACTGGCAAAAAAATCGCTGAGCTCCTTTAATTAAATTGAAACAGATTTATTTATGGCTGGAGCAGCAGAAGAGCGCTTCGCAGGCAGATGAATTAACCTTGAAATGGGCCCATTCTCTGCCGAGCAAATAAATGCTGCTGCGCGCACACACACAGCCTCAGAAAGAGAATATCAGCTTTTTTTACCAAGAAGCGATCGATTGTAGTCAATGGGCTACTGCCGACCTGATATAAATAAGAATTTTTTTTTCACCCAGCTGAGTTTTGCAACTCACATGTAGCAGAAAAACCGAAGCCCCTCTTGAAGCTGATGGAGAGGAAGTGTCTGTAGTGATTTTTACATTCCCTTTATTTTGGCCAGATATGTATTTTGAGTGTTTGTGGTGGGCTTTAATCCAGGTGTAATCCGTTTTGCCAGATTTTACACGATCAGCACCAGCAGAGGCAGCGAAAACAAGTTACATTAAATTTTTGACATGTGGCCAAACAACTTCTCCGCGGGTCTTCGTAGACAAAAGAGTCCTCGTTTTTCATTTCCCTAAACATCGAAATGCTAAGATGCTTTTTATTTTCCTTTATTTTCTTATAAGGCATCCATGTTACATTAATTTTGAAAGCCTACAACAAATGTTTTCTAAATATATTTCAAAGAAAACTTATCTATTTAAAATACTTTAGATTGATACACTTGTTTTAAAAAATAAATTTCTTTGTTTCTTTGTTTATAGGTTTTGTTTTTAAGATTGCTATATGAATGCATCAGTAACCGCGGCATACTTCTTACGCCGTCTTTACACAAAACTAAAAGCTGCAATAAATATAGGGATTTGCCCATTTCTCCATTTCCTATATATATACACTGTCGAATGCATTGAAGAGCTCTGAGACGAACACTAATGGGAAGACTATCGTGTCTCATAAAATATTCTTTGTATAATGCAGGCTCTCATTGTTATTTTATGTAGCTTTTCAATTAAGTGCTGCTGTTTGCGAAGCCTTAATCTTTTTATTGATGGCAAAGAGAGCTTTATATCGGATTAAAAGTATCTGGTTGCATTGCACAACTGTTCCTATCAAGTTTCAATCTTATTGCAGCCCAATAAGAAAGCAAAATCAGAGACTAGGTTTCGTATAATTCTCATTAATTTATTCCTGTTTTATTTTTGTCATATGTTCAGCCTAATTTAAATTTGCAGCATGTTCGAGGGCAATAAGGCATACCGTTTTTAAGTGAAAACTTTTAAAAAATAGATTTTTTTATTATCTGCTTCAAATAAAATTAAATGGTGAAGTTAAAAGTGTCCGAATCCAAAAGTTTCAGCTTCATCAATTTTAAAGCTTGTAGAATAACGACTTACAAGACTGCTATTATAAAAATTATTAGATCTCATATCCAACCTGATTTTGACCAAAAGCAAGTCCATTGTAGTGGCAGCCGTTTTAACTTTCAGATCGCGTGACCTCTCTTGGCACTTCCGAGTCTTCAGCTATTTGGGCGCGCGTAACCTTTTTTGTCACGAAAAGCACTGCCCGCTCGATGTCAGCCGTATACCTTGAAAGCCTGTCATTATTGTAATAATGTGCCGACCGCTCCCTCGCTGCGCGCGGTAATCCAATAATAATTGTCCTCATCAAATGTTTATTATTCAAATCCACTTAACCGGTTCCTCCAAAAATATAATAATTTTTTCTCTCCCCAACAAAATAATCAACCTACAGAGTTTCGTCTGAGAGAACGCACACACTATCTCATAAAAAGGTTGCCTATGGAGAAAACGATACTCTCGATGCGCGAGTGTTTTTATTACAAAAATATTCATAATTTTAACACCTCTGCGTCCCATTTTGAGAAGAGGGATAAGCTCCAAAGGAAAGGGCCGCGTGTGATGAATTATTTATTATTGAGAGAGAGAGAAAAGGAGGACCTCGTTTCCTCATTCATTCTCACCGATAGGAGATTTTAATGCTGGTTCGAGTCGCTCGTCCAAATGTAAGAATTCGTGTTCGCCTCTCATGATCGCGTTATGTACTAACGATTGAGGTATAAATTTACACGAAACGTACTTATGTACGTTTATAGTAAATTTATACCGACGATTGTCGAGAGAGGCCTCTTTGATAAAGCAGAAAAAGAGCGACGTGCCGCGTGCTATGTGTGTGTTGTGCTGCGGCTTTGTTGACATGATAAAACTATTAAGACGCCTCAATAAAACACCGACGCTCAAACTGATAAAATGCGTTTTGTTTAATTAACAGTGCAAAGGATTTATTCATCGGGGCTGCTATAAAGATGAGGTGGATTTATAAACAGAATGATTTGTTTTATTATATTACTTTTCAAATCGCTTAGAAGGAATTTCGTGCGCTTAAAACTCACAAAGACTGTGCCTAACTGAAAACTTCTGTTTGAAATATCAAAAAAATAATAAAATATTTATTATGCTAAGATCAAAGATATCGATACAATGTGAAATTAATTTTTTTTGGGTATAATGCCCTTATATTAATCCAGAGTAATGCTTATTTTTCTTATTTTATTTTATTCATGATGCATGAAAAGCAGACGAAGTCTCCAAAGACTTTTACTTATGATTAAATAAATGGTGCTATACATATATTTTAGCAATCAAATGGGGATTAGATGAGAAATTCTGACATTTTTTCAATTATCTTGGGCTTATTGTCAGTTAGTAAGAATAACAATCATTACATAGAAATTTCTATCTATCTTTTGGAAAAACTTAAAAGTTTCCAAAACAAGAACAACTTCAGGAATACAAAAACAGTGTCAGGAATACTATCTAAGTCCAGAGTGGAAGAAATTTAAAAAAAAAAAATACATCATAATTTAATAATTTTTTAAACCTGCATTTTGTATTATGAAACTTCTCATAATTTATTTTGCATGATTGCCAAGAGCGGTTGCAGACGTCTCCCTATGTCTGCACTACGATGCCCGAGTGTTCTTTGAACAACGAAAAAAATTGAAAAAATATGGCCGTGCACCTCTTTGATATGTCGACACAAGAGAAAAATATGAAAGCAATGCACCCTAGTCTGAGCTCGGTTTGAAGTTCAAACCCTTGGTTCGCGAAAACGCACAGCTGCCTTTATAGAAATCGCCGCCGGCCAATTGCGAGGCTCCAATTTAATGGTCTCGTACTCCCGCGCTTGATATAATATGTGCACGCGGTAATGGAAGCCAAGTGCACAAGGGCACTTACAAGCAGTTTGATCCCCACGTTTTCACTCACAGCCGCGCACAGACCAAAGCAAAAATGGAGGCAAACCTCGCGTCCTAATTTATTGGCCTTTTTTGCTTTTCGCGGGGCCATTGAAAGCGCTTAAGTGAATGAAATGCCATTCCTCGTTTTATAAAAGGAAAAAATGTAAAATAAATTTGAAGGTCTGCGCGAATGTACTCCCGCACACAATTCGCGCGTATATTAAAACTGGCCCTGTGTGTATAACATCTGAAAGTCCGCGCGCATGGGGGAATGGCTTTTTTATTGCGAATAATTTATCTCATTTGCATGGAAAGAGTCCCGACGCGTCTCATTTTTATTCTTCAGTCGGCGGAGCTGAGAGATGAGCGTGCAAGGTGTCGTGCTTGCTAATTGGGCTGCCCATAAACCCTGCACAAGTTTCATATTTGGACCATTGCTAAACAGGTTATCCTGCAGAAGAGTCCTCTCTCGCGCACTCGAGACACATTAAAATTCAATTTTGCACTCGTCACGTGGACCCAAACTAGAACAATTTACGCATGGGCAGGCAATATATGTGCGCTCGATGGTTCGAGAAAAACTCTAATACAGACGCAGTAGCACCCCACAATCTCTGCAATCTCGAAGAATATGGTAATGACTTTGTAAAAAAGTCATCTCCTCGAAGATGAAATTAATTTTTAACATGCTGGCATTCGGGAAGCAACTCGGACCGCACACAAAGAAAATTACTTCTCTCAGATATTTTTATGCCGTCCCAGTCATTTCGCCTGGAAATTTATGTCCCTCTCCTTTTACTCAAAATCGCAGCGCGGTTTCCCCTCTCCATGACCATAAAATATTAAAGATGACCCAAAGAGGAACGCGTCTTCATCAATCCAGCAAAGTTTCTATTGTCGACCGCCCTTGCTTTGTTATATGTATATCTTGTTTTTTCCAACTTGAGAGTGGCTCGGCTCAACTGAGTATAGAACAGTTTCAAATGTGTTGATAATTTTACAAGACAAATGAAATTCATGAAACAATCAAATAATTTGTTTCAGGTTTTTGTAAAATTAATTCTGTGTGATTAATAAAACTATAAAATAATTTATAAGGAAAAGTGGAAAAACCTATTTGCATTTATGACGCTTTCTTTTGAAACTGATTAATTTAAAATGTATTTTGCTGTGCTCGTCTTGAATTATTTATTCTTGTCTGCCTCTGAACCCTCCTAAATCTCCAGCGTGAAGTCTTAATCTCAACACATACGTTTCCTTTATCCTTGCTTCGGCTAGGTGCCAATATCAATTTTGCCGCAGTGCGTGGGCATGCCTTAATTTGATAGTCCAGCACGCGCGTGGAACTAAGTCAGAGAAAGCAACCGCAAGAGTCGCGGCCGCACTATCCAGCAAATCACTATATATTTATTTCCAGTTGGTCCTAACAATAAACCATAATACAATTTACAATATTAGATTGAATGTCAAGAAAAAAGAAAAAATTTACTGTCTCTAAATTGCAGAAAAATTTAATTTAGGTTTTTTAAATTTTATTTTCTATATAGAAAGAAATATTAATTTTGGTGTTGGTTCTTTTATGAATTGCAGGGTCGTGTCAAGTGTTGTGGCTGCTCTGGGTGCTCATGTGATTTGCGCCCGCATTCCTGGCCTCACTCCGAGGCAAAGAGACTTGTGCCGGACCACACCGGACGCGATCGCCGCCGTCAGTGAGGGTGCCCGACTCGGGACACTGGAGTGTCGGTACCAGTTCCGAAATCAAAGGTGGAATTGCTCCACAATCAGCAGCGACGCTGTTTTTGGACACGTCATGGTCGTTGGTAAGTTAATATCCGAATAACTTTTGTAGCTCAAAATCCCTTTTGAATGTTGAGGTCGGTTAAAATAATAACCATTTAGAAAAAGTTAATCGAGTAAAAAACCGTTTTCTTTTTTTTTGCAATAGCCAAAATTCTTCCATTGGAGTTTGTGAGATCAAGGCAGACAATTCAAAGGAGGAAAATCACGATTGGAGATAAATTTTATCCTCTCTTTTCATTAAAACATGGAAGGGCTCTTAGAACACACTTGTTTGCAAAAGACCTCTTTTCATAACACGAGCCTATTCCACTATCTCCCTGTGATATAACCTGTATAATAATGGTCCTGTTTTATTATCCAATAAAATAGATGCAGCCTTAATCTCTAGTCAAACAGGACTTGCCACAAAACAACCAGTATTAGATAATTTGCAGTTTTCCTGCCGTGTGTTCTTTTTTTAAAATGATGTAATTTTCGGAGGCGCCTGTCTGAAGCACTTTAATGATACATTTCAAAAGCAAGTGCTGAAAGAAGCGGCTCTCGATAAAGAAATCCACCCTGTGTTTAGGCTTCGCAATTACGTTGTGTTTTGCGCTGAGAGAGAAGCGGATTATCATTAGCTGCGGAGCTTGTCATTAAATCGACAGACAATCCCCCCTTGATTTTTTTTTATAAGTAATGACCTGCAGAAAATTCCAAAGTAAGTCTGGCTGACGGCGCCCCGCTGCGAAAATTGGAAACAATTTCAACGCGCGCGGCCACAGGCAAGCCGCAATATCAGTTTGAGAGAGGAAAAGTTGTTTTTATATTTATTTTTCACTCTGCTCGTAGCGAGTTTGAAATTTACAACGCCTTGAGTAAATAATAATATGGCGAATGAAGATATTTTTATGTGAATAAATGAGTCCGATGGCTTGTTCTCGCCCGGGACTATCAAGGTGTTCTGCCCACCAGAGCCCATCTGATATATCCAAATTGAGCTTTGCGTATGATAAATCACCTGTCTCGAGGTAATACACCACGTTAATGCCTGATTCATTGCGTGTAGGAACAATTTTTCCGAGCGAAGGATGCGTAAATCACTATATGCGCGCCGCCATCCTATGTGTTGTGTATACAGATGTTTGAATGGATTAACACGCGCATTATGTATACTTGCTGCTACTCTGAGAAATTATATGCTTATTTCTGCAGCAGACTAAACTAACAGATGGAAGTGCACTCCTCAGACTGCGAGGGAAGCCATCAATTCCCATGCTGATTCTGAATTACACGTTTTGCCGGCAAGCAATAATAACTCACAATCAGCCTTGTTGCGAGGAGAGCAGTATTTTGGATTATTACACGCTATCTGCAAATGTTATGGGCCGCTCGATACATAACTCATGCAATGCTGCAAAATAAATCTGCGTATTGCCGTCTTGCAGTACATGCAATAAAATGATTCGACTCTTTTCATTATTTTCAGTCAAGTCGATTTAAAAAAAAAAAAAAATCAATTGCACTCCCAAGGATGAATTCTTTTATCATGCAAGGCTCAAGAACTTGAAAAAAAGTACAAAATATGATTTTTAGCCATGCTACAAAGAGACATCCATAATTATTCAGAAAATAAGTTTCAATCATCAAAAATTTTTATTTGAAGAAAGCTATCAGCATTTTTTGTTATAATTATCTAATTTATATTTATATATATTTAGTTTTATTGAAATTTAATAAAAACAATTTTGCAGCATTTTTAATTTTTTTTTTTATATTTTGGAGAAACTATCTTGTAGTAAATCAAATTTAAATGTCTGTTTAATCTTCCTACGCTTTGCAAAAAATATAGGCATGGTACAGGTGCTCTCAATTTCACAACGAGAACGATGTCATTTTAGCTTTTGCTTCTGATTCAGAAGTCTGAGAAGTGCTACCTGAGACTGTAATGAAATTTGTGTTTGCTTAACATGAAGACTGGCGGGGGGTCTTCGGCTTTGTAGGCACCGCCTTCGTCAGTATTTGCTATTGTTTGCCGCGCCATGTTTAGTGCACAAAATCAGAGCTTGGACTTTGCAAAGGCAAAGATTTCACGCTTTCACTTGCCCCTCCACTGCAATAATTTACAAGTCACTCCTGCAAACCTAGAAATTTTGCATTTTCTATGCTTTTTATGACACAAACAATTTAATATGGATAATTTAAAAAAGTTCAATTGCGTGGAGATAGAATTAATTGTGGTAAATTATGCTGATTGGCCCTAATTTTGCAAACAAGAAAATTAATTTAGTCGTGGAAGAATTATATTTTGCGGTTATATTTAAAGAGATTGGAGTTGAAAGATAAAATTAATAAATTGCTTCAGATCTGCTTCAGATTCTGAATTTAAATTTATATTTAAATTTGAATAAGGGGTGCCGAATTGAAATAAAAATAAACAGCTTTTCACATTCAACAGAACACTCCTTTTTTGCATATATTTCAAATTACTTCTGAAGATGTTATGCCGAGTGAAACTTGTAGAGCACATTTATGCGATAAGGGTCTGCAAAAAATACTTTTAAATAAACAGGGAAAGATGAGAGATAGTGCGAAAGAGATCACGGCGGCAAGCGTTGGGCGTACTTGAAAATAATTTGCAAAAACGTTTCCTGCATGTCGACTCTCTCTGAATCTGCCGCGCCACCTCGCAAAAAATCACTCCTGTGTTAATTTAGCACGGAAATCTGCGGGGGCTGTTAAAAATTTGGCTTGAAAAGCTTGCACCCGGGACTTGAGTCATGCCGGGCGAAATGAGAACAAGTGCGAGACAGAAAGGTGTTTTTATTTTTCCACATTTGCATACTGATTCAAAAACACAGAGTTTAAACTAAAGTATGTTCAGTGAAAATAAAAAAATACAAACATGTATTCAATATGAGAAAAAGGGAGACGAATCTCATTAGTAAAATTCGTCGCACTGAAATTTTTTCTACGTCGGCAAAGAAAAGCAAAAGCGCGCAAAATTTAATTTGTACAGCCTACACTTTTGTCAAAATTCAGATTGAAATAAATATCAGTATTGTGAAAAAGCTGTTGAACATTTCCCACCCAGAGCGAATCTCTCTGAAAGCGTGTAAAGCACTTGGGAGCAGATTTCAGTTATCCGCTGCGAGAATAGCGAGAGCAAGGCAAAGTGACAACCACGGTGATTTATTTGAGTCAATTAAAATGGTCAATAGTCAACCTCTGCAGGCAATTTATTTAATTTAAAACTGGTTGCGCTGTCAATTATTCTTTTTCTGTTATCCAATAAATTAATCACTTTCCTGCATGCTATTAGTCGATGTAGAGTTAGAAATCAGCAGTTTCGGTCGTAGCTCACTCAAAAATCCCCCATCTTGATTCCCGAGTGTCACACTGATGCACACATAAATAACTCAAAAAGCTTTTATGGTAAATTAGGTGAACCAAACCTCGTCTTTTCACAAAAAATGGAGCTGCAAAATATTTCACTTTCAATTTTTTTTTAACTCGTAGCGTGTTTTTTTTAGAGTATACCTTCTTTAGCTCCGATTGTGAAAGAGACTTTTTACAATGCGTGCAGGGTCATTATTGGCCCTATTGTCTGGCCCGTTGCTGCAGCGCGCATCTTTGATGTTTCCATTATTACCTGCGCTCTTCTTCTCATCTCCCTTCTCTCACCTGGACATGGTCCGAGCTCTTTTATTAGCTGCGGAGCCTTCTGCTGAGTAATTTGACCCCAGGAGATGCAGTTACATCAGCTGCTTAATGAAAGAAAAAAAATGTGTCAAGTTTATCGCACCCCATTTGAGGTTTTTGCTCCCTTGACCGATATTGGCGATATTAAAAAATTTCAAAAATGGAATAATTTGCAAATATCGATGAATTATGAGGACTCAAATGCTTTGAATAAAATTCAACAAATTACTTTTCCCTAATGAAAGGGTGCCCTTTGTGAACTGGACATGAATGAAAAAGCTTTTTATGGTTAAGAATTTTTAATATACCGAGCGCGCGTTTTGTTATATTACCTTTTATATATGCGAGATGAAATCCTTTGAAAGTGCCCTGTTATTAAATAATATGTATGACATTTATAGAGATCGAATAACGCGCTCGCAGACCCATGTCAGAGGGTCTCGCTCGTTCCTTCCTCTCGTTGCCGAGAGCAGCATCAATACAAAAGCAGCATGCTAAACAATGTACAGTCTTAACATCGATTTATCAAGCCACGATTTCAATTACAAGACAGATCAATGTTGTTATCTGCAGACTCCTGCTGGCTCTGCACAAAGTGAATATATGTGGAAAAGGAATTCCTGTTCTTATTATAACTCATTATTATATTCGATCGGGACCGCTTGCGTGCAGCGTCGAATCGGTTAAGGACCATTATTATTAACTGTACAAGGGCACGCTAATTTATTTTTCGGCCGGAAAGCTGTTTTAATTGCACCTATTATACGTATCATTTTGGGCAGAAAAACCTCATAAATATTTCATGTGCGGCGTGAGTGTATCAATTAACACTGTGCCAAGTAGTTTTCGCCAAAATTGATAAATTAATGCAGTTTTTACTGCGAGCAAAAATTAACTTCCCTACTAAAAGCATATTAACTGGGTGAATATTCATAAAATATGTGCTGGACGCATATTTTTCTGCTCTCCAGTGTGGCTTTTGCGAGCAAATTTCCCGAAACGTTAAAAAGTTTCAAGAAATTCTTTTGAATATTTTAAATATTTGTCTTCTGGATGATGAAAAATTCATCATTGTTTCTAATTATGGATACAAATAACTACAAAATAAAAAATATTATAATTTAATTTAACCACGTTTTAGTTTTAAGTACAAGAAAAATAAGCATATAGCAGTGGAATGGAATTTCATATGTATAGTCCATTCAGCAAAAGCAACATAAATTAATTATAAAATAATATAAACTAAAAAAAATGTTTCAGCATTTTCTTGTCTCTGCGCCTCTGCTTAAAAATGAAAGCTCGACTCATCAAGAGGAGAACACGGGGCCATTAGATAAATTTATAATTTACAAACTTGCCGATTCCCCCGTTAGAAATTGAAGATTCAAGCGGCTCCCACGCACACTTACCTCTCGCGCAGGATGACTGGTGGAACATTTTTTCCTCTATAGAGCGAGAGGAGCCAGTTCATTTTAATAATCGAGTTGGTTTCTCTTTCGAAATGGTCCGATTTACCAAAGGGCAGATGAAAAATGGACGCAATCTGTAACGCAGCCCGCAGGTGTCAACATGAAAGAGCAGCTCACGTCTTCATTGCTGCCGAGAGATAAATCTCGGCGTAGCAAAAACCCCTCGCTGAGCTTTGATTGTCCTCATCAATTCACCGCCCAAATGCCGTGTCGTAAAGGGGGCCATGGAAATACTATGGCAAAAATCCGCAGTGGCTGCAGCTGCGCGAGCAATTTGTCTGGAACGATATTGTTTAAAAGTTAGCAAAAACAAATTTAAAGAGCATTGCCGTTGAGAAAAGAGGGAATCTCGTTAAGTGGGTGGATTCTGTGCTTACAATCAGATACACGATAACCCTGTACTGTTGCATTATGAATTGTCGTGCTGAGAAAAAAGTAAAAAATAATAAGATTGTGAATATTATTTTATCGCCAAAAAGATATGAAGATAAAAAAAGAAATTTGGTGGAAAAAATCACGCAACTGACGTAAGAACATGTTAGAATGTTTGTTTAAAGTAAGTGCATAACAACTGTTGGATAATTTTAATTCATTATTACTGCTCTTTTGAAACCATAATGCAGAAAGCAGAACTTGGTTTATTGAAAGTTAATCTTTAACTTTTCCGTATTTTTATTGTTTGGAAATAATTTTTGATTTATTTAGGAATAAATTTAGATTAAATTTAAAAATTTAACTTACTTATCTTTCATTTTAATTTACTGTACAAATGTCAAAGGAAAAATGAGTTTATTCAGTCCTGCAGCTTGTATAAGCATATATTGGAAAAGTTAAAAGAGTAAAAATTGAGAACGACGTTGAACAAGACAATATTACAGTTCCCCCTCGTTGATGCCATTCTGCAAGAAATTTATGCTGCATTTATGCAGTGACAAAGCACTTGAAGTCGAACTGGAAATTCATGTGAAATTTATGAAATTGCTTGTTTCTCGTGCATGTAATGAGCGGCGAGAAATCATAATTCGACACATTGTGCGCGGCAAAGAATGGCCTTTAAACAACGCGCCCATTCATTAATTCCAAGCAGACTTCTTTATTACACGAGACAGAATGATAAAATATATGCACCGGAGTGAACTGCTTATTTTATTTAAGCGCACAAGCACACGCTGAAGTTCTTTAAAAAAAGTAGTGCCTGCTTTATTTTCTCATTCATGTAACTTTATTGCTTGGGTGTTTTTATCGTCGTCTCGTGTGCCAGCACTTGTTACTGCATATTATTATTTAGTCATTTGGACACGCGGGGAGGCATTCTTCGGGGAAAAGCATGTGTTGTAAGAAGTGCATAAAGGAGAAATTAATACATTTCCAAGTGCGTCTCTGGGAGTGTACGCTTGTTTGCTTGTTAACAGTGATTTAATGTGCCGAGGTGTGCATATTGGTGGAGAGAAAGAGAGAATTGAGTGTCCTCGTGCTGCGGTGTTGTACCGGCCTGCAAATTGAGAAAAATTTATACTGCATTTCGAGGAATCAAGCTGTGTTATTTATGGACTTTTGCACGCGCGAATCAGTTACATAAAAAGATTTACACCTCGTCCTCGCCTCTTGAAAGTCGAACTCGATATTTAACGACCTGCAAAAATTATGCGAATTCATTAAAAATGTTTTCCTAGAATTCCCCAGATCAATGAAAATAACTTGAAATTGGTTAAATAATTTAATAAATCATAGATATTTTTAATTCAATTAGAAAACAGAACAGTAACAAAAGTCAGTGAACATGAAATTCAGATAAAAATTTAATATTCTTATAAATTTTTTGTTAAAAATGCATCCTTCAATTTTTGTTCTTATTTGGTATTTTGTGTTCAGAACAAGTGTTTGAAATATAATCTGCAATTAATGTAGGTAAAATATTTCAGTGCAAAAAAAAAATAGTAACAAGACTCAGAGAACATGAAATGTAGTAGAGAAATTACACTGTGATCGGCATTTTGCGTTGAAAGGTTTAAAAATAATACACAATTATAAGCAAAAACATCACTAAAAATCCATTGCTGGAAAACCCGTTTTATATTTAGAGTAAAACTTGGACGAAAAAGGCAAGGGTCCAAGCAAGGGTGATTGTATCACCAAGGTTGCCCAACGGAGGGAAAAACTCTTCTTACAATAGTGTGGGGGCTGCTCTGTTCTTTAATTAAAAGAAATAATGACCTGAAAAGATCCATTCAGGAAAAAAATCTTTCTCAATTGAACGCTATCTCCCCGCATTGGATTGAAATTTTTATTAATGGCCAGAGAGATATCAAGTAACAAAGATTGTCGGTGCAGATTCCCACGGTTAAATGAAACAAAAAATAAACAAAAACTGCGTATTCATTAATGTGCCAGGTTGAATTAAACAAGGACAGGATTCGCTTAATCAATCGGTTCTGCGTGAAAATAAATATTTATGTACACTGGGTGATCATTTCACTTGCACCCAAAGAGAGAGAGAAAGACTAGCCGAGGGTCAAGGGTCGCAGTGGTCACGCCTTGGTTGCGCAGGTGTGGGCGCGACGGCCAGCGACAATATTGTGCTTCTCAAGTTTTCATGCATGCACTTGGGGCCACGGGACGCCCATTATTATTATCTCGGCCGCCGATCACGCGCTATGAGATGTTAATTAACGTCTTTGTACAATATTAAATGTTGTAGGTAGCGGCCGCTTAAGCAGAGCGTGGGTGAGCGGGCGGCAGAAATTTATGCTGCAATTATCTCACTTTGCTCACCGGCGCTCGCACTCCCAGCTTTTCTCGGTTTTGGAAACTTCGCCTCGCTCCTCAAGTGCCTCCTCTCGCACGAATTTCCCTACGGAATAGTTTCAAGTCACGACAACGCCGCAAGTTCTTGCTTTTCATATTTGATTAAAAATTACCTTATTATATCGCATGGTTTGCAAAATACTTGGTTTTTCTGATTTGGTAGTAAATACCTGAAAAAAATTGAATTTAAAAAGAAAGTAACAAAGACTTTTATTATTCAATTTGTGAATAATACTTTTTTTTATTTATTGACAATATTTTTAAATAGTGATAAATATTTATTCATCAGTTTAGAATTCACACAAAAAATGATTAAGCAAAATAACTATACTTAACTTGTATCAGAAAATGATCAGCTCATTTTAGTTGTTAGTACTAAAGATATTATTAATTTTGATAAATACAGATATTATTAATATAAATTTGGTACAAATTTCATAAAAAATCTTTTTCCAGCAAAAATATAATTATGTTTTGTTCATGATAATCTTTTATATCGTTTAAACTTTCTATGTATACAAATGAAGAATTTAATTTTTATTTCCTTGTTATTAAATCAAAGACGCATTTCCTTTAAAGGAGGACAGTTTTATGGACATCGTCACTCTGTTTAATCTTGGATTGTTCAAATGCATTATCACCTCACGTCGGCAAATATGTTGACATTAACACATCAGCCCTGAATTCAAAGCGGCAAGAAGTGTGCGACGCGAAATTAAGATAAAAACGCCTCTTAGTGCAAACATGTAAACGCGATTTGTTGCAAAACGCGCGCGCTCTCGCGCCGCGCAAATGTTGACAAATAATTCTAGTTTCCATACTTGTAGCCGCTCATAAGATAATTCCGCCGGGCTCTCGAGCCGCGGCGAGAGAGTAAAAAACGAGAGAGACGAGTTTCGCCATGCATTATAATACACACCACCATTCACCTATTTGTCACCCATTTGCGCCCACATTCCGAGAAGGCATTTTTCATTGCTTCAAATGGTCTGCTTCAAAGAATTTATTTTTTATTTTTATGTATCTTTATTTTTATTACACTACGGTTCTAAAAATATTTAATTTAGTTGGTTGCAAACGTGTCAAACAAACACATTATCAAATAAATTAATTAATGTTGGCAGAGAATTACAATTATTACTATTCTACTTTGGAAAATAGATAAATTAAGTTCAAGAAAGCTCTAAAAAGGAAAATCTTTACAAAATATCGCCAAATAGAGAAAAAAATGAAAATATCACATGATTTCTTCACAAACCTTTTGCTAATTTGCAACAATATTGAGAATATAACAAGATTTTTGTGTAGCATTCAACATACATAATATCAATCAATTTTTGAAAACATTAAAAAATTCAAAAGATTCTTTAATTTAAAATTTTTCAGCTGCAAAAGTTAATCTATGCTATTTTTTGTGAGATAAATTGTTTCTATTTTACTATTTTATTTATTTTTGTTCGCAGGAAGCAGAGAGGCGGCGTTCACATACGCAATCGCGAGTGCCGGCGTGACCTACGCGGTGACCCAGGCGTGCAGTAGGGGCAACATTTCGTCGTGCGGGTGCGCCCCGTCCCTGAGGGCCGGCATGGTGGCCTCTGGGACTCCCATGTCAGTGGAGGACGTGACGTCGCCCGCAGGCTGGAAATGGGGCGGCTGCAGCGCCGACGTTGGCTACGGTGTGCGTTTTGCGCGCAAGTTCGTCGACGCGCGAGAGCTCGAGGGTGACGAAAGGACCCTCATGAACCTACACAACAATAAGGCTGGCCGAAAGGTGATTAAATTGTTGATTGCAGATTGCTCCTCTTTGTCTCGTCTTCAATTCGTTTAAGAATTTATGCAATGATGCCTACACTTGTGTCAAGCAGGTTGCATTATTAAATCAAACCAACTTGAGGAAAAAGGACTAAGCCTTTTGAAATGTGATCTTTAAACCAAGGAATTAATTTAATTTTTGAACATATGAAAGAAATATTTAGTTTTGATTTGCAGCAAAAAGACGAATATGCATTGATTGATTAAAACTAAATTTTCATTTCAATTAAATCAGTTCTTGAATGAATAATATTTCATCTGTTTCAGGAATGAAATACATAATTTTTTGACCAATAAAAGATTTTTATTACAGCAATCAGAACGCTGCTTAAGCAATATGAACAATGAAAATGCATTATAAGAAAACCTGCTGGATAAAAATTCGTGCAACCCCAAATGAGAAAGTTTTACTGGTTACATGCTTCTCATTTCTTTCTAATTATTTCCTTTTATTTTAACAATTTATATATTTGGTTTTGATTCACGACTTATTCTTGATGTATCTCAAGATTTTTCCTACCTTTGCTTGTGGGATCTGTGTTTTTTAAGTAATAATTCATAGTAGAATAATTTACGAGTTTTCCTCCTTTCCTGCGTATAATAACAAAGGAAGCTTTCCAATTTCTCATTTTTTAGGAGTAACATCTCAATCAAGAAAATGATGGATGCAGCTGCTCGGCTAAATCAATTAAGCCTCCCAAAATGACTTTCAATTACGGCCAGAAAGCATTGTTCGTATCTCTGTGTTCGTTTGAGCGTGGGCTCTGCCGCCGGAATAAAAGAGGGCGAAAGGGTTCTCTTCGTAGAATTTTCCTCGGCGCTCATTTGTTGTTTGATAAAGTTGGCGCGGCCATAAAAGGACTCGTCACGGAAAAATGATCATCTCTTTATGCCGACGAGTGATTACAGTACACAAGACTCTAATTTATGATTTATGCCGCCATTCGACCGCGAGTTTTGAAAGTGAGCGACCCTATAATGTCTGCCGCTACATATTTTACGAGTATGATTGAAATATTTATGCGCTTGAGGAGGCGGCGTGTTGGTTTTGCACTCGCCCAACAGCAACTGCAGCCGCATTAATTCGCGATTCATGTCTTGTAATTTATCTTAAAATTTGAAAGGAAACACGCATACCGCGCGCTCACACCTCGCTTGCACCTGTTATATCCAGCAAATTGCACGCGGAATTATTCATTTTTGCTTTTGCATTTTATTGCGAGGCACTCCTTTTACCTGCCCGCGTGGAATCGCGATCTGCCAAGTGAATCGTGAATCATATTCAATATTTTCGCATTATGTCAACCTGGAGAAAGGTTTAATACAACATAAATAAAATAACAAAAAGTGTCTGCATTCCTGAAGGTTTACGTGGTGAGAAAATTTTCGTGCATGAAAATTGTCTTGGCTTAAATTTTCAATCTTCTAGGCAAAGTTTGGCTTTTAATTGTCATATGCATTGCGGTAAACAAGGAAATTGAGATAAATCTGTATTATTTCTAGGTGTGATTGTATCCGTAAATGAATTATTTTGATCATCTGAATATTATTTTCATCGGTTTTGTGCTCTCATCTCCCACCAATGAGAAAAAATGTATTAATACAAAACAAAACTGCAATGTTATATTTTACTTTAGACACTTCGCAACATTTAAAAATTATTTATGTTTTTTTAAACTCCAATAGTTAAAGAAAATTTATAACATTTTTATTCTTAACTTTCTCATTGTAAAAGCTGTAGGGGTTTATTATTTATATGAGCTATACAAAATTAGAATATAGAAGGCAGAAGATTTACATTATATATTAAAAGTGCAGGTACTCTAATATTATTTAAATAAATAAATAATTTGATATTTTGTTAAATGTTTTTAGAGGTTCAATTTTCTTAAAAAAAGAGTATTTTTAGCGTTCCAGATGATTCTAGATAGTAATAATTATTAAAAGGTCTCCAAAATAATATTAATGGTAGATCTGGAAAGTTCCAGGAGAGGAGCTCATGTTTTCCGCCCACAGATTTGTGTTGTTCCACACCATAATTGATTTCTAATTGGCCTGAGATTTCAAAATGCATTTTAATTCATCATTTGGAGCACACACGTGTGGCACTTTGGGAACCTCTTGGGCGCGCGATCCTTTTCCGTGCACTCGTTGCTCCAGGGCTTGAACAGATTAGGCTGCGAGAAGTGCAAAGGCGTGCGGCTGCCATCAGCAAGTCCAGTTGAGGACATAAATATTTATTTCGACTACAATCAGCTCACATTTCCATTAAATTGCTACCGCGGTGAGCTTGTAATAAATATCGCAGAGGCGGCGGAAAAAAATAAATAAATCGCACCGCCCGACCGAAACATAATTTAATCAAATTGTCGTGCCATAATTGAACGCAAATAGCTCAAGGGGGTGAATATTTTACGCGTGACTCGGATCCTCGGCTAATGTATGCAAGCAAGAGTAGGACACAGAACTAAGAGAGCAATAATTTAGCTCCTCAAGGCATATATGAGATGCGAGCAGCTTTTTTAATTTAATGAAAGGCGACGCGAGTCTTGAACCATTAAATTTTTTGAAATTAAAAGAAAGTAGCTTCCTGAAGATTTTTCATTTTTTAATTCACTGATATGAAGTGTATAATATTAAAATTTAAAAAAACTTTAGTTTGATGAAGTTGACACAGGAGGAGACGATAATGGAAGTGAAGAAAACGGGGCTTTGTCCTCGTTGAAAAAATTTTGTATTTTCATTTTGCGCAATGAAAGTGGTCGCAGACCGATACCGAAACTGGTAGAGCTGTTTTGTTTTTGAATAAAAAATAATTTGTCAAAAATTGCTTGTTGTCTTCAAACTTTTGTCACATTGTTTTTTTTAAATGCATTATTTAGATTAATTTTGAATAATTTCTCTATAAAATTAATTGAAGCCTAAATTTTTGTACATGTCAATTTCGAAATAATTAAAATAGCAACGTTGAAAGATAATTTGGAAAAATTAAAATGCATATAAAATGTTCATATATTAAAAAAATATAATAATTTTAGAAACTACCAGGTCTTGTCCACTTTGTCCATAGTACTCGGTCCCTGATTATCAATTCATGCGAATAAACTGTACGCAAGACACTGTGAATCTTGAGAAGTAATAAATGAATTGCCGCAGCACGTTAGCACGGCATTCTTGCTTTTCACCAAAAGCTACACTCTTAATCATAATATTTATGAAGACGATTTTCTCGGAAAAGAAAACCGCAAGCGCAACTCTTTGAAGGAACTACCGCGCGCGACGTGCGTTCTACTTAAATGTCATAATAAAACTCACTGTCGGCCAAACTTGTTATGTTAATTCACGTTTTCTTGTGTTATTGTTTTTTATTTTCTATCAAAACTTTGCAGATCACACGCCCTTGCACGCATACAACTGCTCCAAATATTTTTCAATTTGGATTAATTTTTCAATAGTAAGAACATCACTTCAAATTAAATGCATAATCAATTTACAGAATAAATAAATTTTAAGTTAGTCCATATTTGCGCTGTTTATATTTTGCATCAATTTGCATACCCGCAGATATTTAAATTTAATAACTTAATTAATTAACATGACGCATTTCATTAATTTTATTTTTGTATCCCTTGGCTTGACTAAATTAAGAAAAATAATTTATTCTTTTTTAATGTTTCCTCTTTTGAATTGGAATGGAGAAATTTTAAGGTAAAACAATTTTTTTTTTGTTACAGGCGGTTAAAGTTAATTTGCTGACCGAGTGCAAGTGCCACGGCGTGTCGGGCAGCTGTACCCTTAAGACGTGCTGGAAGACGCTACCGCCGTTCCGCAGGATAGGCGACTACCTGATGAAGAAATACATTAAGGCGCGCACCGTGCACGCCATCTCTTCGAGTCCGGGCAAGCGCTCTGGGCCCAACAGCGTTTCCTCGGAGCCATCAGGGCTCCACCACCACCAGGGCTACCCTAGGGCGGCGTACCTGGCCCTTCGGAGGCCCACCGGGGAGGCGTGGCCGCGCAGACAAGGCACCATCAGGCGGTCGCCGCCGGTGCAGCGCAGACCCAAAAGGGCCGAACTCGTGTTCCTCCACCAGTCACCCAATTACTGTGAGAGGGACCTTGCCAGGGGTTCCCTCGGCACTACTGGACGCACGTGCAACCGATCTTCCACAGGTTGTTATACTATAATTGTCGTTAAACTAAACAAAATTTCATATCATTGGAGTGAAAAAAATAATGTAATTATTTAATGCAAAAATCAAATTTCATCTAGGTTTGAGCATAGAAATAAATTAATAAAAAGGTTGAAGTTCATAAACATAAAAATGAATTAAAAATAAGTTTTAAATTTTTATTGTAATTTTTTTATTAGCGTAATTTCCTTTTTTAAGTATGAACAAAAATTTATTCTTTTTAAAAAAAATAATCTTTTAATAAATTATGCTGCTAAACAAACCTTTTTGATCGGCTTATTTGAAATTTATGAAACTTCTGACTATAATTTTTAATAAATATTGCAAATATATAAATAAATATATTTTTTAAATGATGAAAAATTATTTTTAATTTTAAGAAAATTTTATTTTTCTTTTTAACATAAAAAAAATACTGATTTATTTTTATGAATAATTAAAACTTGCGTGTTTAGGGACTGAAGGATGTGAGGTGCTGTGCTGCGGCAGGGGCTACAACACACACCAGTATACTCGCCACTGGCAGTGCCGATGCAAATTCCACTGGTGCTGCTACGTTGAATGCGCCAAATGCTCTGAGCGGACTGAAGAGTACACGTGCAAGTGAATTTTCAACTGTAAGAAGAAGAAGAAGAAGTGAACTTCGAATTGTGAACTTGTATTGTGTCTGTGCCAATAATCAACTCACCTAAATTTTATGTATTTAATATAATTATAATATTTATACTTCATTTTATTTACCAACGTTCAAATCAGTCTTTTCAATGTTTGAAATAGTGGATGATTTAAAAAGCTTGTAATTGTGAATCAACGAATGTTTTCTGTTTATTTTTTGATTAAACCAAACAGGAAGATTCCAGAACCCTCTATTTGCTAAAAAAATCTAATATGCAGTCGTTAAATTTGCTTCTTTATTAAATCGCCTAACTTGCGCCTAAATAAACAAAATTCAGCCAATTCTAAAACGGATGTTTTGATGCTCTTAATCCCGCTTTGAAAAGGAGAATTCATGTCAGCGCACAAACCAGGGAATGCGATCTGGCTCTTTACACAGGTAGTGTTACAAACAGCCCTTGTGAAAAATAACACGTCTTTATTTGGCATCAAACAACCCTTCTCACTTTTGCGGCGGTTGCACACACGCTGTTGAGCCGAGGTTGAATAGAGAGATACAATAATAAGACACATTGTTATATTGAAGCCACAAAAGCCGGCCGATGACAGACCGCGGCGCAACGCTCCTTTATTATTTCTCGACGCAAAGAATCATCCAAAGCAGCATCCCCTCTTTTTCTTTCCGCGGCGTGTGGAGATTTTTCCCTCGTCGCGTCCAAAAGAATCAAATTGCTCTGACAAAAGGCACATTCGAGCTTGATGGAAAAATTGTGAAGAGCAAACCATAAACATGCTGGAGCGTGTTCACAACTTCATAAATATAAACGGACAAAACCAATTGTATTCTTACAAAAAAATGTTTTTGGAAAAAAAAACCTTTTTGTTTTTTTCCCATTAAGAAAATTAAAATTAATCTGAAATTTATAGAAAATTTTATTTTTAGTTATTTATTAATAAATAAATTATACATTGATTATTTTTTGGGGGACTTAAAAAAATAAATATTCTTATACGCTATAAAAAATATGCAAAGCTGAAAATGAAATGAGTAAATCGAGCAAAAAGCAAATGACAAGAGAACTCTAAAGTTATGCAACAAGGCGAATTTTAAAGCCACGCAGGTTGCATATCTGAAACATTTCGCTACACAAAAATTACGGAAACTTAAGAAACTTTAGTAGAAAAGAGAAGGAAGGAGGACATCGTCCAATATTATTAACTGATTTTCTTCATGCCTAAAATTTAAGTTCTAAAATGTTTTTATTTTGCAATCCCAAAAGAGGGCCTTGAAAGATCGATTTCCAATTAGAGATAGAAACTGGCACGGCTCAACAAATTTCATATACATATATAATGCCAATTTTGACGCATTCATATCCATATTTATAATTATTTTCAAAAAAAAAAAAAAAAAAAATCAATGGAAAATAATTTTGATAATCCATAATAGAACACATTATTTTAAAATCCAAAAGATGCAGAATTTACTTTTTTTAATAGAAACAGAAACTCATTCATTAGTATATCCTATTTCATATAACGAAGATATTCGGCAATTTTCTTTGAAAGGGAAGAGATTTCCAAAATCCTTGATAGTATCTTTAAAAAAGTAAATTCAAACTCTTAAAGTTTTAGAGACTTTGGAGTATTTTTTTATTCTGCATAAGTGCCAATGAAAGTAATTAATTAATTAATTACCCTTATTCAAGATGTTGATCTTCAGAATGGTAACCGGAAAATCCGCCGTAGCTACGTTAAATTATATAACTATCATAATAATAAAGAGCAGATAGATTCGAGTCCATTTCTGAGAGTTATGCAACTCGACGAATTTAAATGCTAAGCAGGTTGCATACCTCTAAAATGAAACGGCGCTTCAGCTTCAGTAAAGAGATCGTGACGATGCACAATCAATCACGCGAATGATTCTACCTCTATTTTAAACAATTCTATCTATTAAGATGAGACTTGATAATATACGCGTACGTGTCACCACGATCACTGAATTATCATCTCATTAGTCTGAGGGGTCGAAGGCTGCAACGTGATATGTAAGTACACGGAATTCACAGCATTGATTGTTGTTTTTCCCCCAACAAATCGAGTGGCCGAGAAACTTACTGCATTTGAGCTGCTGCTCCGGTGCACATCACACATCACAAATAATTTTCGCTCATTTTTTAAATATTAGTTCTGTTAAGTTCCATACAGTTTTCTGATACAAGAAGACAGCATGGATGGCATTTTTATTTTTAGACAAATTCTTCGACTCTTGAATTTTTCTTTGCATTTGCTGGTGAGTTTTTATATCTTAACATATTGTTGACCAAGTTTTATAAATTACTTAATTGCCTGAACCTCTAGCTTATCGACCATTCATTAGTCGCAGGGTTAGAAAGTAATGCTGAACAGAATTGCAACCGGGATCCAATGTACATGACCTACTGCATCGCCCAGTGTCTAAATATCACTTCATTTAATGACATGCAACGCTGCACTTACAATAGGAAAACTGGTCGTGCTGTGATGAAGGTCAGTTAAATTAAAAAAATTTGAATAATGAATAATATATAATTTAAAAACTTTTTTAGCCAAAATGTTCAGATTGCCCCGTCTATGCGTTAAATGACAAGGAAGTAAGTTTTTTATAATAATGTCTAGATTTATTTTCAATTTTAATAAATTTTACTTATATATTAGGGTCAGCGCGTCAGATTGTTGTATGGACTAAGTATTTACTTGAACGCCACATTTGAATAAAAAGTAATCTAAAATTTAAGTTGAAAAGAATTACAAGAAAATATGTGGACTATCCATTGCCTACAAATTTTCACCGCCGGTAACATCTTTGAAATTTGAAAGAAGGAGCGAAAAAAAAAATAAGTTGGCATTTAGGTAGAATATCGAACTGCTGCCTACATATGCGGAATCACAGATACGAAGTTGAAGGCTTGGAGCCCAAAGTCAGCCCAAGAAATTCAATGTGTAATCGAAGGGCTGCGTGAGTTTAGCAAATTGTGAATTTTCATAAATTTTATTTAACTTGGATAAAAAACAGCAAAGGAACACGTTGCCAGTGGAAGATTGAGGATCCAAGCGTTTAAGGGCGGCTGCTCTCAAAAGTTTCAAATATGCGACTCGGACGAAAACCCACCTTTTAATACGACCTTGTTCCCGTTTATTCCGATGCAGCCAGCAAAGAACAACACTTGCTTGGTTGTAACTTTTTCTCTAGACGACAAAAAGGCGTCAAATCTTCAGTTTCGGGAGGAATATTGCCATGAACCAGCCCCTTTTATCTGCCTTACTAATGATGATTGAAAAAATATTAAAGAAGTAACTTTTCAGACAATTTTAACTCTGCAGTAAATTTCCAGTGCTCGTAGCATAGAAATTGAGGGAATCCCAATGAATATCGATCATATATAGTTTTGACGTGCTTTTTTATGGAAGGTTAGAGGATGGAAATTAATAAAAATGGGACTCCCTGTCATTACCATAATATACATATTGATTTTCTGCAATAAAAAAATATTTTGATTAAAGGCTTACTTTAAAATAAAAAATAAAATTTATTATACATTCAATTTTTTTAACCTCTCATTAGAATAAATTTGGATTGATTTTAAATCATATTACTGGAGAATTGGCTGCCAGCCACAACAACATACCAAAACTCGCTGGCTCAATCCTCAATCTAGAGAGGGGAGGCCATTTTTTATTTTAATTTTAACTATTCTTTAGTTGAAGCTATAAGAAATGAAAAATGAAAAAATATTAAATTCTTTGTACAATTTTTTTTACTTTAATTTAAATAATAAGTTTCAAAAATAATTTCAGGAAAACTTTTCAAAGACACCGCAGATTTTCTAATTGACAAGGTTTATTCTATCATATCTTTTAGGAGTACACAGACAAGATAAGCATTATTGTTTAAAGGACAACCTCATAATGAACACACATTCAGTCGTCAATTACATTTTACTTCTTAACGGCAAGAGCTAAACCTAGTTACATGGATTTTTCACCCACGCAGCTACGACTGCGTAGTAAAATAAGCGCATTTAAATTCATATACACAATTATACACGAAAATGGAATGCTGGTAATGTTGCAAAAACAAACTTTGGATTGATGCAATTAAAATTGCGTGGCATGTGTTTTGAGATCACAAGTTTACTGGCAAGTATGTATACGGAAACTAAAAATTCTTTTGCCTCACTAACAATCAGAACAGTGTGGACAGTTTTTCACTCAAGGTATATTATTTCCAGAAAATTTGACAGCTTTCAATTTTAGCACACCAGCCTTATAGCCTAGAATATCTTACAGCCTAGAAGTGCGAGTTTTTCATTTTAACAACTTGAGGTGGGTGACAGTGGAGGAAGGTCGGCGGTGACGGTGGCGCCGACGCACTGCACCAGCACCACCGGCTGTCCGGAGGCGGACATGACGAGGGGGGCGGGACGTTGGGGTCGCCGGCTCGGTTCTCGCCTCAGCAGCTCCTCGATGGAGTACGGGTTTCTCTTTGCGGGGGCCTCCTCAGGGGCCTTGTGTCCCCATGGGCCGGTGGTGAGGGAAAGGGGAGAGGAGCTCCTGGCGGTCACTCTGGCCGCTGCTGCCGCCACGGCGGCCTGGTGTAGCTGCAGAGCGGCCACGAGGCGCTCGTTCTGCTGCTGGTCGGTCGGACTGAAGGCCGGCAGGAAAGGCGAGCTTCTGCGGGCCACCGCTGCGGCCATGGCTGCTTTCAAATCTGAAAAAGAAAATTTGAATTTTAAAATTTTGTTCTTGATTTGGCACAATAAAAAGTACTTAGAATTTAATATGTGTGTTTAATTTTATTAATTATAAAAAAAAATATATTTGAAGTTTTAAAACATTCTTTTATTATATGTTTTTTTTTAAAGATTTTAGTTGCAAATTATTAATTTGAATAATAGGAATATAACACATTTTATTTGCCACTTTTTTAGTAGTTATACGGTTAAGAATTTCAAATTTTAATGCATGCTATTTATGTCATCGTCATTTCACATAATCCGCGAATTATTTGGGAACCCCTTTTCCCGTAAGTGCGGTTCCCAAATCAGCTACCGTTTCTTTCTCGATTTCTATTTATACCGTCGCGTCTTATAGCGGTGCGTAAGGCTGAGAAATTTCTTGTCTGCGGGCTGATTGATATCAGAGGGGGCCAGTTAGTTTGTAATCACGGTCAGATGAAGCGTGTAATTTATATCAATGAGCCGCAGGTGTTTCGGTCGCTAACGTGGGAACAGAGAAGACAGGCAGCTTTTAGCAAGACCGCGGCACAGATTTATCAATTATGCAAAAAGGAACAGGTTGATAAAATTCTTCATACTAGTTTTTTTTCTCTTCGTGTGTATTAGCCACGCACTCTGTGTCTATAATTTTTCTAACCAACCGTAGCAAAAGTCTGCAGTTTTTTTTTGCACACTTAATTATTCAGAGTGGACGCCCAAGAGAAAGCGTTTCCTCCACGCCACGATAAAAAGATAGTTTAAAATAAAAACTAAGCGTGAAAGATTAACGCGCACCTTGTGGCGTGCATGAATGAATAAAATGTTTGAAAGCGAAAAAATTATTCCCTAGAGACCTCCACCTGACCTTTCAGCTGCTCTGAATTGCAAAGGTCTGTTCATGAAACCGAGATTGACTGATTTGATTTGTGTGTCGTCAAAATTCACAAATAAAACATTAGGTTTATTAATTAGAAAATTCCCAACTTTACTAAAAGAATATTATAATTAGATAATATGCAGTAAAAAATTAACTTTATTAAACAAGAGTTTGCTAAGAAAATAAATAGATTTATTTGAATGAGAAAATTAAAATCAATTGATATTAAATAATATCAAATGAATGAAAAAATTTATAAAAGCCTGAAATAATTTGTTTGCACATGAGGCCTGTCATAAAAAATTTAACTAAATGAAAGAAATATTAAAAAAATTCAAGGAAATAAATGGGCAGATCTTATATTGTACATATAATTATCCCGGATTAATATTTTTTTTTAAGTAAATTATTATTACCTGGCGACGAGCTCTGTGGTTGGTCAGTGGACCTGGTCAGATTGGTCATGGGTGACCTGGCGCCTCCATGCATGGCCGCGAGGTCTGCGTCCGTAGTGGCGCCGGCGTTGCGGAGCACCCTGTTGATGGAAGACACGCTGGGGATGGTGAGGGGGTCGCACACCCTCTGCGAGAGCAGCGACTCCCTGATTTCCCAGGCGAACAGTCCAGGGTTCTCCTGTTTGAGACGCAGGATCCGTTTGACGACCGTGGGTGTGGCCACTTGCTGCTGAAAACAGGCAAAATCAGTCACACGGTCGACAAGATTCTTCGTCTTGAATAATTGTGGCCCGAGGGGCCGGCGAGTCAATTTAGCTGGCGACTCATTGGTTACGCTTATTACTACGGCAAGCAAGAATATTATGCCTCAAGCGGCACGTTTACAGCGTCAATTGCTGCCAATTTTCTGTTTCAGAAATGATCTGATTTTTTTTTTGTCAAAGTTTTTAATCATTTAAACTAGATTTCAATTGCATTTATTAATCATTTAACGATTTTATTGCTTATCTTCTCGGAGATTTTGTTAGTTTTTAGCTCAACTTTTTAATCACAAGACAAATTATAATTCTCTGTCGGAATTTGGCGGAGTTTTGTATAATTATTGTGTGAAGGAAAGGTCAAACTCGATAAACTGGACCTGCCTCATGGTGAGGGCACTTCAAAGGTGTAAAATATGAACTATTTCAGACCGGTTTGGGCGCAAAAAACATGAGCGAGAAGTGAATCTGTGCCTCGAAAGCGCACCTGTGTCTTTATTTGAACAGACGCCAACAGACACTTGGGACCGACTTAATCGCAGATTGTTCATAAATTGCATCAAATAATCTGATCGACGCAGGTGCGCATCACTCAAATTAAATCATTATCTCACTAACATTACAAAACAAAAAAACTTTGCCGAACACCCATATTGAATTTAAACGCTTCAAGAATGCGGATTCTTCTTATAAAACCAGCAAGTCAATTAATTTCTTTCTAAAACGAAGAGCGCACTGCACTCTTAATCAGCGGCCGCGATCTCCACTCTTGTCACACGGTGGTCGTAAAAGCGGTCTCTTGGAAAATAAATAAATAATAAAAATGTCTCCACGCCCAGCACATTATTCAGAGGGACGGACAAGTGGTGCATGTAATCTTTTCACGCGGCTCCTGTGAACGAGATTTGCATATTGTCACGGATCTTTTGGAATTTTCAGCCTCCAGCTCTCCAAACACAAATTTCTGCGTGACGTGTTTCTCTCTCATTTATAAAAATAGCTGAGTGACGCTTGAATTAAGACGTTTTAATAGTCAGAGAAAGCTTTTTTTTTTAGAAAAGTACAATTTTCAAATATTATTATTTTTTTTAAATAAAATTGATAGAAAATAATTATACTAATTATAAATTTTCCATCACATTCTTAAAATGAATCAAACGTTCTCATCAAACGCAGATTGAGAAAGTTGATCTGCGCTGATCAGGCGCTGATCAAACATGGCGTTTCCGCGTCAATCCTTGTCAAAATGCTGATTTCCATCGTCCTTTAATCATATTAAAAAGCCGCAGTGGCGATAAAACCTCATGTTCATTCTCAGAAAATTAAGTGATGATAACACGCCGGTCATTCTGTTACGACTTTTGACAGCGGTCTAGCTGCCTAAAATTCAATGGACCTTGAATATACATATACGCAAGCACCTGCGTCAACCTCCAAAGTGTCCGACGCGCAGAGAGGATTAATTAATCCGCAGTCAAATGTGAGCTGCGCCGCCGTGTGTTCAACTTTTTTCTTTCTTTCTTTGTTTATTTTAAAACTCATTAACACTATCAAAAAAGTATTCAAAACCGAACGCCCGTCTGAAGATACACGACCACATGCTTATTTTATTTTTGCAAGTCGGCGTTGATTACGGCAAGAAGTGTTAATTGCAGAGTACGTGCGCGCATTTATTACCTCGTACTTAGTTTTTGCCACTTTCAGAGAGAGAGAAAAAAATTAGCAACGAAATCTTGGCAGGTGGAGTTTCAGGTTTATTACATATTAAATCGTTCTGCAAGATAAATAAAATTCCATTAAAAAATTCAAAATTGCAATTAAATTTAATATTTTAACAATTATTTATTAATTTAATTATTTGAATTGTCGTTTTAGTTTAAGTGGTTTTCAGGGATGAGTTGATAGAGAAAAATTTCCCTGCTGAAGATGCGATAACTTTTGCAACAAAAAATATTCTACAAAAGCAGAATTTTTGATTTACTACCAGACGAAATGCCTAACTGTAGTGTTGTTTTCTAATCCCATTACCTCGATAGCCTCCACCATATCAAATACATTTAGAAGCAAACGAACCGTGACAAATTAATTTCTCACTGGACCAAATAAGCTACGTCGTCACTAAGCCCGAGAGTTTCTGATTTTAATTCATATTATTTTTTTGCCACAGCCAGCAGGTGTGTCCGTTCCTATAAGTGATTATTTGTAAATTGAATTTCGCCCATGCGAGCAATTTGCCAGCGGCCAAGTCTCGCATTTATTATCCTGCGGTATGTGTCTCCATCAAATTTGACAGCAGCGGCAAAAAGCATTTCCAATGAAATTGCCGCCGCTGTTATAGCCGGAGATAAAAAAGCTCAACAACTGTGTAATGAACAAAGAGCGGTAATGTCTCAATTGCAGGACAGGAATGCCTCGGAGTGTAATTGCCAGGCAAATTATCCCTCGCTGCGCGGGGACAGCAAAAATACTCAATAAATTGTGCAAATGAATAAACGGCGGCATTATGGGAAAGAGCAGAGCGAAATGAAATTCCTGCAACAGTGGCAAATAGCAAAAAAGGCAGGCGCTCAAGGCTGAGGGCAAAAAGGGTATGTCGTGTCCATGCAGTCAGCAGAGAGCGGCGACGGCACCTGCCAAGTTAATTTGTGCACATTATATTGTTCCAGCACGGCCCAATTTTTCCGCGTAAATCATCCGCTTCTTTCATTCGCGAATTTTTGCACGTCTCAAACAACATCTGTTGTGGGTTTAAAGTGAAAAAGCTTTTGCGTCGGGCCCACGGTACAATTACATTATTTAATTAATTGAGAACGTCTACTGAATAATAAAATGCAGAATGAAACTACCTCAGTACAATAGACCAAGAATAATGTGTGACATAGACAAAATTTTTAATTTATTTTTTCTAAAGCTAAATTTAATAATATTGATATAAAATGTGTATACGGCTGAATTAATTTAAATTTAATTTTTGTTTACTATTTGTATTTTTTATTGTAAAAAGCTATTAAAATAAAAACGATGATATTATGGTTCCTGCCTTTCCCACAGTCACTCATGTTGAAACTTTCAGGCTGGTATTTTGCGCCCAATTAATTTATTCCCAGATTAAACGTGTGATTTGAATTTTTTGGCTAAGGATGAGTTATAGTTTTCTCCATTAAATTTCACGCACTCCCTTCGCCTCTCCAGATATGTATGCGGGTACCCAAATTTATGCCTTTCCATTAGATGTGTTATCCTTCACTACTCTGCATATTATCCATATGAGTTTAAGCTCTTCTGCATTGCTAATAAATTCATGCCCCATGGTCAGGCGCGAGCCTTGTTTTTTGCCCGCTCGACAAGTTCGCCAATTAAATTTAAATTAATAAAACTTGCCGATTCTCCTGATAAGTCCCCTTGAAAAATTTAGATATAATAAAAATAGCCATCTCCCTAACCCATATACAAATTCACATCCGCATTGGTGAGATTTCTTTCTTGTAAAAATTAATCGAAATTGTGCTGCTCACTTTCCAAAGAAAAGATAATTAAAGGACGTAAGCAATATTTTTTTGATGCACTCAAATTAATCTCACCTTCCTATCATCCGACGTAAAAACAAACGAGTTTTGCGTGCGCACCAATTAATCTCGCTTTTCATCGCTGCACTCTGCAAGAGGCACTAATTAAAACTTAATTATCGATTAATAACACACGGACAATATTACTCTTGAGATAAGAATTTTGATTGCCCAGCAGCAGCAGCTGTAGAGTTTTGTTCAAATAAATCTCGCTTGGTCTGCGGGTGTTGTTATTAATAATTTTCCTAACGACTTGAGCAATTAATCATGAGACCTGACGAGAGCTCAGTTTTGGCATTTTTCACGGAAGGCTCGGCTGCACTGGAACCCTTTGCATCAAACACGCGCAACCAAATTCAAGATCATCTTTCTGGAGCCGAAAATGATGAAGAGCCCTCAGGGTTGATGGCATTAGCTTTTTTATTATCATTTGCATGCACGCGTCTCTGCCGGGCGCAGAAATATAGTCACGCTATCTCGGCTACAAGTATATTTACACCTGTCTGTTTAAAAACTACCATTCATCAAAACAACAAAAAATCTTCAAGTCAATTGAAAAGATTTAAATTTTTTTGTATCTGGTGTAAACCAATCATTTGCAGGACAAAAACTGGCCGGGCTTAATTACCAGCGTATTTCAAATGGTCAAAAATAAAATTATGCCCGAGTTTTTTGATTCCCCAAAAGTAATTGGCGTATTCGTCAGTGCGAAAAGTGCCAAGTAGGAAAGACTCCTCACTCATTCATTCGAAACGCAAATGAGAAATAATTGAGGCGAGCCACGGTTTGTGAGTTGAGCAATTAACTTAATTGATGCATGTGTCTGTTCGTTTTTTGGCAACGCTAATTTTTTGCGACCATTAAACAGCGTGGTTTCGGAAAATAAATTTGTTACACACCTTAGTTTTGGAGCCACCAATTGCGCCCGGTCTAATGGAGCCAGTCTCGTAGAATCTGGTCAGGATCTTGGACACACAGCCGTGGGACACCAGGAGTTGGCGCGAAATATCACAAGGACGCACGCCGAGGAGGGCCAGTTCGACGATTCGGCGACGGACACAATCTGGCAAAGGACGTCCATTGACGAAAACGCCGCCTAACTGGTTCACTCCTGCTTGACCTGAAAAAGGAAAACGTTTTAGATTTTGTTGATAAAAAAAAAATTAATTGATTTAATCAAATATATGATTTAGGTATGACTTGTTGCAAGAGAATAAGTGAATTGAAATGTAAAAATTAAATAAATTTAAATATAAAATATCATAATTAAATTTGAAATATTTAAAATATATTTGAAGAATTTAGCAGGGGAAAGGTGCATGTCAATTAAAATTTATAAGAAATAAAAAAAAATTGTTTTGACTATATCTGATTTTTTTTGCACTGGTGAAATAAATTCTTTCAGCTACTAAACAAAGTGAATAATGCGTTCCATTAAAAAGCATTTCATTTCAGAACTACATCGCAGATCAAATAAAGGAACACTTTTATTGCCAGCACGAGATCTGTATTATATTGGACTGTATTCGCCAAACCCGCGTGTATTAATGAAGAGCAGATAACATTTCAATCAAGAACTTGAACAGTCTTAAAAGCCGGCCAATAAAGATGGTATCAGCGAGCTCTCAATAAATTTCTGGCCCATATCATCAGCGATAAAGTTCTCTTCACGGTGGTTTATGATCCGGCCTGCAGCGTTCCGACCACTGCCTTGTCGATCGAAACACAATCCGCTCGTAAATCCGACGCACTTTGAGCAAATTATTCAATCAAAAAAGCACTTCCAGACAATCCGTGTCAATAAAATTGCAAGTAATGTAAATCTTTCACCGGGTTATAAAAATAATAAATCTAGGAAATTTCTGTGATGAAATTTTTGTATAAAATACAGAAAAATGAATTTGAATAATTATATTTGATTTTCTACTTCTTTTCATTGGATTACATGTACGAAACACCTGGGGAATATAGAATTATATGAAGTTTACAAATTGGTTTTTCAGGAATAGCAAACGTGTCATTTTTCATCCACAGACGCGAACGTGTGCGAGCCAACTTGTGATTATTTGCAGAAATTTGTTGAACAAATCGCCGGCAGTCTTTCCTCAAAAAGCCGCTGTCGCTCTACACATATAATTATAACACTCCAAGAAGTGCAGAGAGAGCTAAGCAGTCGCCGCGAGAGCCGATTTGTGTCAAGCATCTCATTAAATTTAATTATATAAACAGCGGCAGCCGAGAACAAAAGTGACAGAATAAATAAAAAGTAAAATAACACCAGAAGTGAGAGAGGGCGAGTGCGATAAAATTATATGCCTATATATCGTATGGTTAGGTGTTATTATAACTAAAAAAAATATGAGACCAAACAAAATTAGCTTGCTCGTCGTGGGTTATTTGAAGAATTTCCTTCGCTATTTGCTCCAAAATGTGCTAATTTTTATTATTGATGCCTTTGGAAACCTGAAAAAATTGTTTCTTACCTCCGAGGCTATAGGAAGAAAAATCTGTTCAGCTACTTGGTAAATGACTATTTTGATTTATCGGCGCGGACTAATTTTTATCCCGGCAACACTCGAACTACGGAGATTTATTATCGTCGGCGCGGCCAAACGCGTAATTTATCGTTTTCGATTTTACGCGGCGGCCAGCGGCGCGATTTGGCCCCACGACGACGTTTATTGAAACAGGTGTCAGACTAATTGAAATCCGAACATCCATCATTTTCAAGTGGTGCGGTCCGAGCGAATTTGAATCGCAAAAAGCGTTGCTTTTGACAGCACAAAATTATTGGCAATTCAGATTGGAGAAACCGAGAAAGCACTTTGGACTAACTTTAAGCAACCTTGTTAGATTCAGAACTTTATAATTGTTTTCGGAGAGCAGGTGTCTATTGAAAGTAACTTTTTGCAAAAACTTAGCAATACATAATTCATTGTTACATTTCCTGAAAGAAGTTTCAACTTTTAGAGTTTCAAAATAAATTAAATTTCATAGCATAATTTTTTATTTGTAAAATTTCCTGTGCTTATTTAAAAAAATGAAAGTTTTAAAATTATTTCATATCATTATATGAAATAAAATTAAAATGCTTGAAATTCTAGACTGAGCTGCTGGTTATGAATAAGTTAAGTGAGAAAACCTTGCCACGAGGTCAGTTAGCTAAGAAGATTTAAATAATTTATATTTCTTTTTGATGACTATTACCATTTTTATGTGTTCCTCTCATTTTACAACCGTCTCGTCTTCCTAGACACTAACTCTTTTGGCTATTTGATGAAGAAAAAAATGACTATGTTCTCGACACTTTTTAACACCGCGCGTCCGCAGAAAATCTCCAGAGATAATTTTTGCTCTACATCTATCTCGATTACTTACAAAGTCCGTTTTGTGTTCTCGTACATTTTTATTGCCCACGGACATATTAAAATGAAGTCAGGAGGATATCACAATACGTTTGTAGCCGCAGGTAATTACGCCTCTAATTCACCTGCTGCCGAATTTTCGCCGGTCGCGCAGCCAAATATCATTTAAACCACCACTTTTTTTCCGTGCGGCATTTTTTCGCCGCTCTTTGCCGAGAGAGGAAACATTTTTATTTTTATAAAGGCGCATGCACGGATGGCTCACGCGTGTGTTATTAAATTCTAAACACCACTTCTTATCTTGATTTGAGAATAATTTGTTTGAACAAACACACACACATCCCTCGGCACGCGTTTTTTTCTGGTTTTTCCTTCTGGCGCAAAAATTAGCGAAATCTAGCGACCGATGTAAGTAAATAAAACGCACGGTTTTTCTAAATAAAATGACTCTATCTAAATTTCCTCTTAAAAAATTAATTCTGCCAATTATCTCTTGGGGTTGTTTTTTAAATGAATGAACCAGGGATAATTTCATTGACGGGGAATTAACTTATTATCCCTAAAAACACTCATCTTGAGAGAAAATTTGAGGGGATTTGGTAAATTTTCGAGATGCAGCCACAAAATGCATGACTGTGTGGGGTTTCGGAGCGTTTACTATAATGGACTGCTAATTATAGCACGCACCGAGGATGTTCGATTAAAAAGCAAACACGAGACCCGCGGTCAATTATATGATAATCGCATTTTTTATCTGATTCGTTCATAATTGGCCGCTGGACCTTCACGGAATTCTCCCATTTTTTTACTTAATGCATAACGCCGGAAGAATTTACATAGCGACGAGATATCGACCCCCCACCCAATGGAGATTTTGGCCTTGTGCATGAATCTTAAGATTTTATTCTCCGCTGACAATTATCGCTTAAATATGCAGAAAATAACTGGAGCGTGGAACGGTTGTTTGAAAATAATTTACGAGAGGAGAATTAAACGCATTCTCAAGGCAGGTGAAAAAAAATATTGCAATCCAAATGACAAATAACTGTAGAAGGTAATTTTCAAATAATTGCCGCAAATAAGCATTCCCTTCGCTCCTTTTTACTCAAAGTTATCAATAAAAATATTTTTCTAGGGTCAGGCTGTGAGACGGTATCATTATTATTAATATCATATATGATTTCAATTTTGGGGAAATAGTCATCGACCGCGACGGTTTGTTTGCGCATTTCATTCCAAATTGGCCCTTCCGTGACTCGACAATGACTATCATGAGACCGCATCCATCCACGACCCGTTGTTTAATTTTTTATTATAGAAGAAGAACGCAACCACTTGTTGGCTTTTGAGAAATGGTCTAGGAGCAGAGTCGAATTAATGCCTTGCAGGCGTTCAATCTCATATTTCCGTGGAAAAATTTTGCTATCGAAATATGAAGTTTTATTACATCCTTCATATTTGCATTTCGCGGGGCATCACCTGCAAATCATTTCTCTGGACGGTCAGATCCAATGCATAAATTAAGCGGAATAAATTTGATTTAAAATATGTCCCTCTATATGCATAATGAATTTGCATCTCTTTAAGAGCCATTAAATTTTATGACCGAAAATTAGGTTTAATTGGGCTGAACTGTAATACACTTCAATGATATACGATCAATCGAATATCATGAGACGTCTATTTCGAGCCTATTAATAAGCTGCGTCCGAACGATTTGAGAGATGAAGTGTGCCGCCTATTAATGAAAGCAAAATGAAAAAGAGGCTATACGGAAAAACATTTATCAAATCACTTTTACTATGGCACACCTTCTTTGTAATTAAGGCACCTTTGGGAAGAACTAGGGCGATTAATTAAAATTGGCAGAGGTTTTTGATATTAAAAAATTTAACCTTTTGCTGCTTTTCCCCTTCTAAATTCCTCCTCCTTGAAAGATGGTTGGCTAATTAGCTTAAATAAAAAATTAAGAACATATTTATATATTCGCCTGCTGTTGACAATGACAAAACTAGCCAGAGATATAATCTGCTCTACACCAGCTGCAATTATACGTACACGTCCTTCTTCCTCAATAAGAGTTTGGAAAAAGTGCATTCGCGCTTTCCTTTCTTCCGGTCACACGAACAATGTCAAAATCGCCCCATAAGAAACAAAATTGTTGTATAATATGCTTGAGCTTGAGCTGGAAACGCAATGTGTCATCCCGATCGTAATCTATTCACGAGAGTGCATCGGCCCATTTTACAGCGAGCTCGCGGGCGAATTAACAAAACAACGCTTATTGTTGCGTGATAAATTTGAATTTTGAAAATGGTGTATAATAAAAAATAAAACGGAACTGGGCAGATGCTGCGTGTCTGTTCCGTGAGTGCTCAAAGAGCGCCTAATTTTGTTTGACCACAGAAATACTCTGTGCAGAGATGATTATCGTTGTTTTAAACGCGAGTGACAGATTTTGGTCACCAAAAGAGACCGCAAACCAGAGAGATGTGTATATAATTGTCCTTTCAACGGTGGACAACCTTGTTTGCGAGCCACCATTTGAATCGAATAGAAAAATGTTGCTTTTTTATATTCAATTTCGGTTTGTCCTCAAAGAGGAAAATGTACCAAGTAATTTATTTTAAGCATCGATCGACAATAAATAATCGCAAACTACTTAATTAGAGCGTCTCTCTCCGTCGGAGACAGACGAGGTATTAAAAATGGCGGTTTCAAACGTGCTCACCTAACGACTACTTGGGCAATAAAATTATGCTAATGCCGGTCTAGGTGGCTTTGCAAAGTCGGCGCAAGGGCTCTTAAATTATCAGACGCGAGCGGATGATCCTTCCTGATAATTAGTGCGCAGAACATTTCGATTGGGCCCGAGTGGCAGAGTGGTCGGCCTTGGCGGATTTTCGGCCAGCCCGGCACGCGTCCCTGCCAGAGATTGATGGCCTGATTTTGGCCGCCTCGTGCCCACCTGCCTGATCAATCGGCCGAATATTGGTCGCTGGGTCGCTTTTCCGTACATTCTTCGAGCGTGTGCCGCCTTCATGAGCAATCCGGTTTGCGAATGTTAAAACCTTTTGCTTCAAATAATTTACGTGTAGTGAAAAATTTAAAGCCGAATAAGGCTATAATTTGGAGCGAGCAGGTGGGTGGATTAAATAGAATTTTACCAAACGAGTTTGCGACATTTCTGGTGACTGATGTACCGGCTAATTCGATGTAATGATCATAAAAGCGCTTAAATTTGATTTGCGATAAATATTGCGAGCAAAGACCTTCAGACTTCTAGTAAGAAAAAATGAAAAATATATCTTTTGTCCAAATTTGACTCCCAAAAACACAGAACTAAAAAGAAATTTATTTTTAGGTGCAAATAATTTGATGAGAGAATATTAAAATGATTTGCAATCAGCTCTAAGAATTTTTATTTTATTTAGAAATTGTATTCCATGACCAAACAACTAAATGTCTTCCTCAAAATTGTATAAAGTTGAATGTTTATTTAAAATAGAAGGCAGATGTTAGAGCATTTTAAAGAAAACAATTTTGCATGCACTACAAAAATTTAACAATTTATACAATTTTTCAATTTACATTTCATTTTAAATTTGACGGATTTTTAACCTGACTTTTCTTTAATATTTATTTAACTGCTTTTTAAACTTCTAAAGAGAAGATAATAGAAGGTAATTGATGATGTGGTCATAATGATATAGTTTATCTTAAGTTGCAACTTTCTCCTATTAACTTTGTAAAAATTAATAAAAACACAATTGCAGCCTTTCATTGTTTTTTGTGATTATTTAAACTAAACGCGAATCTAGATCGACACTGGCAGTGTAAATAAACGATTTATTTACAATCGCACCAGTTTTGCATCTCAATAGTGCCGGAAAGTGCTGTGGAGAGAGAATGTTGTCTGTGTGTGGTACTTTGTCTGTCTCCTGCATCCTTCAGGTAAAAAGGCAGCCGCGCATCAAGAGCGGTGTGCGTGAGATCACGCTAGGCTCGTCACGAGTCACGAAATTGAGTTGTATTAAGGGCCCGCGTGTGTGTGTTTGCATATACGAAAAGTAAAAAAGGAAGAAAATGTATGTATATGCGGACGCGCACCACTTTGCTCGGCGCTCACGTCAGATGTCTATCATCTCCCATGTCATTCAAAATACAATAAAATTGTTCAGGAATTTGTTAAAATTCAAATGAATTAATACCCCCAGCAGCGGACGTGTTTTTTCTGCATGCGGAATAAATAAGCGCTCTCGCTCCTTGACCATAAAATGGCATTTGCGGGGATAATAAAATTGCATGTGAGCATATAGTGGATAACCGTCCCCTTAAGCCAAATTAGGGGATTTTGCATTTAACAGTTGGCACATTCACTGCTGGCATTTTAAAATCAAGTCTTATTCTTTTAGTTTCAAGTACAAACTTTAAAAAAAAATCCGAAATTATTTATAAAATACAATTTTTTTTACATTTTTCATATTATTTCATTTATCTATGTATATCAATTTTCAATGAAAACTTTTTAATATGATAAGTTAAAATTTTCTTAGAATATAGCTGTACCAGGAAACCCATGCAATGAATTCTATCTAATCACTTGGTATCGTCTTTGCTGCAAAATTGTAAAGTTTTTTCCTCTAAACTTCAAAATTTTAAAAAATCCTTAAATTGTGTTTGCTGTTTTTAAGCTTACCGATAGTTAAAGAAAATTACTAGAATGAAATTTTTGTAAAAAGTCTACCTGCGAGAATTTTTCGCTGTGCTCCCATTTGAAGCCGGCACTGGAGCAAAACGTGATGGCAAAAGTAGCAGTGGTCGCCCGCCGCGATATATCACATAAGTGAGGTTGGCGTTTTCCTTATCAGCGCGAATCACATTATGAGTGTGTCGAGCCGCGTGAGCCGAGCTATTCTCGCCTTGCTCGAGTGGAGTTTCGCATCAATCGGCGTTCGGCTGTGGTTATATTTGGACCAGAACCTGACAAGATTGGCATGAAACGAGCAAGCGGCTGATAAGATAAATTCTCGATGCGCCCGAGGTTCAAGTAGCCGCAACGCATCAGAGTCCATTGATAATGTCGATTAATAGTTTATTGCTTTTGCAAGTCATGTGTGGGTCGAGCGAAAATCGGCAACAAAGTGTTGACAACAATGGGGAATTTTTGCTAGCTTCGAGTGGCCACCGACTCGCAATGATAAAAAAGTGAGACGTGCGAAGTTTAGCTGTATAAAGTGCGGCGCGTGATCAATGAAGTGTGATGGATATTTTTTTATTCAGAGCATTGACGCGGTGATAAGATCCTAAGGTAGATATTTTAAATTCACGTGCTAATTGAAACAAACATTCTATTCTGTATTGTTAAGTAATACTGCTTTAAAAAAACAAAAAATTTTAAAGAAATGAACTAAATTTTTAGAATTTTCTTGATAAAATATATTTTTATTTTAATCTATATTTATTCAGACATATTTTAAATTAAATTCCTGAACTTTCTAAGGTCAATATATTGTTAATTATGATTGATTATAATAAAAATATTACATAAATAATAAATTCAATTAAATTTAAATATCTTATTCCGTCTTCTTTGACTTTATTGTTAAGAATAAACAATATTTTTTAAATTTGAATTACTAAATTTAAATTTACATTTTTAAATAGTGTACAATTAAAGTTCACGTGCCAGGGATGAAAGGCTCACTTACAAATAAGTAGCGTCTATATATGAATTAATCCATAGAGATTGGCAACACGGAATAAAAGCCGCTGCGGTAGGTCTTGATTGCACCGTTCCTCTTCTGTCCGACAAACTGCAATTGACCTGACATCCCACGCGAGAGTTTTTCCATTCAACGATATCTCCAAACCTCCATAAAAGTGGATTTTAGCAACGAGAAATTAAAGAAGCAGAAAATAATGCTGGCTAACCTTATTTTTGGCACGGCGTTGCGCGAGAACCGTAAATTGCACCTGACGAATGGTCTGTTGATGAAGAACTAACTTCTTCTAATTATCGCATGCAGCAGCGTTGAAAATGCGTGCGCTTTTTATATCCTTCAATTGCTGCAACCTCTGACCTTTCCAACTTGCAAGGGAAAGGCGAAATTAAATACATATTATTGAGCCATAGAGCGTGTGCAATTTGCTGCTGGGATTAATTTTTATGACTATGGATGAAATTTTTGACTGAGTGTGTTCTTCCAGCAGTATAGACGAGGAGTAATTTATTTCGTTCTCCACCGGTTAGGCAAAAGTTATATACCAAAAAAATAAAACGAGTTGGCATAAAAATGTTTGTTTTACTTCGGTTGTAAAATGTCCTACAAGCGTGGAGTTTTTTTCTCTCTCCCTCAAAACCTCATAATTCCGTTTCCGTCTGTTCAAATCAGATAGATTTAGAGCTTTTTACAAATTTACAGACGTATATGACAAAACTTACTTCAATTACATTTATATATTCAGCATGAACATACAGAGCAGCTAATTATATAAACTAATCGCTGCCCAGCGTGCAGAGTTTTATATTATTTTTCTGTTTGCTGTGCACGCAATGGGTGGTCTTCTTTGCGCAGACCAGCGTGAAATCTGTTGAGATTTGCAATACACGCTGACCGCAAAGTGTAAACTGCCAAGGTGAATAATTTACTCTCTCAACTCGACAACATCATGCTCTTCTCGCGTTTCGTTTGAGCGCCTCCGCCGATTCAAACTCTATAGCCGCCGCTACTTTCTCACAATCTCGCGATAATTTTAGGCAAATATGTAAAGAAATGAGAAGAAAAATAACCCAAGGATATTATATTCGAACTGTCAAAGGAAAATTCTTAATGAAGAAATACGACTCATTTAAGGAAAATTAAAAATAGCCAAGATAAATTAGGAAAAATAAATTTTTTCCATTTATTTAATGAAATAGTCATATTGGTCAATGTTTTTTTTTTTATAATTATTTTGACCTTAATAGAAGAACGAGTAATTCGTAATGGAATGCACATCAGGATAGAGAATGGGCAAAACGAAATTAAGTTTTGGCGCTTTTTTATCTTACCTGTGTGCGGCATGTTATTAGGGTAATCAAGACGAGACCGTCTGCTTTTCGCTGCGGCGGCAACAATCTCGCGATGGGACTCTGAGGGAGAATCTGAAAAAGATAGAGCAGCGAGGAATTCATTAATCGAGGCAGCGAACTTAAGGCTAGCACTTGTCATTAAATATCGCTTATCTCAAGCGCTCTGCTATAAATGAAACGGTGTTGCCACACGCGTCGATTTCAAAATATTGACGCACGTAAAGAGAGAAAGAGAAAAAACGTTCCGCCGGTTATTTATCACGAGTCAAAGTGCCTGAGAGTTTAATTGTTAATCTCCCAATCTGCGCCAATTAATATTGTGAACCGTCCCATGTCACAGGAATCTTAAGTATGTCGCTTTTCTCTCCATCACCGTTGGATGAACTGATATAATATTTATATTTGAAATTTGAGATTTTTATTTACGCCATGAAGATCTAGGGCCTACTTCAAATAAAACATAATTTCAAACACAAATAAAATTAGGCAAAAAAAAAATGCTAAATTGATTTATATTAAGTAATTATTAAAAGGGATTAAAATGCTGATTTTTATACTGACTTAGTTGGGTTAAAAAGTTTTCTTCTCCTTGATGATAACTTTTTGGTTATAACAATGTTTAAAGACTCAACTCTAAAATAAGTTAATAAAACTCCAGATTATAAATAAATTTGCATTTATCTAATTACCAATAGCTTGTCATTAATTTATTTTTCAAAAGTTAACATTTTTTGAAATCAAGAAATCTTTTGCACTGAAAGGTATCTTTCTATATTATTGTTATTATTTATGGCGCAGACAAGTGTTTTGAAATGCCTTTTACAATAAAAAAATATTGATGCCGGCGTAAAAAAATCACAGCCATCCATAATTGACGCCTTTTCGAATTAGTAACGATTAAATAATTTGTCTAATGATTGGGACTCGGACGCTTTGTGTCCATTTCGTCAATTAGCGACTGCTGTAATTTTAAGAGCCCGCATATTAAGCGCCAAATAGGAAAAAAGTTTATCCAGGAGCGTTAAGAGATCAGTCAAATCATCCGCAATCTCTTTACGATCTCCAATAGAACCAATCCAATAATGGACCACGGCGTACACCTCCGAGGCATCACTTAATTTTTTTTCTTAATCGGCTCCTTCGGTTTTTCTTTGAAGTGCCGATGAGGCGGCACAAGCATGCGAGTCCGGAATAAGCTCTATTTGAAGCTGGAAATATTATACACCTTTTAATAATACCGCAGATATGTATTTGTGGATATCCAACAAAAATATATATCTCAATTAGAGCGCTTAATTTTGTCGTAATTAAACGGCATTAAGTTGTTTATTTGGCTCCACGCTAACAGCACACAAGGCGTTCAGGGAATCAAAATAAAAGCATAAATTCTTGAAGTGCTGGAGAAAAGTTTTCCGACGATCAGCGGCAGCAGTTCGGAGATTAATTAGGCGAAATTTTGGGGACGTCATAAAAGGCATGAGAGCGGCCTCTGCTCCTTTGCTCTGAATTAATCGGAACTGGAACGCATAGCCTTTGATGTCGGTCCCTTCAGAGGGTCCGCAGCCGAGCACAACACGTCGGCCGCACGTTTTATAGCCTCTAAATATTTGCTGCCCTCACGGCTCTCTTGAATTTAAGTACGCGGAAATTAATGAGCCAAAGAATGTAACTGGCGGAGAGGCACAAAAGGTTCCTCCTTTGTGTTCAACAAGAGTGTTTGTTTGAGCCGACGCCTTGTCTACATTAGCAAACACTTTTGAAATTAATTAATCTTTAATTTCAAATCAATTCCTTTTAATTAACTCTATTAGAGGATCAATTTTTGATTCAGAATAAAAAAAACTCAACGTTGCAGTGGCTGCCACTTTAATTTAATTTTCATTATTTAATCTTGAAAAGGTAACGATTTTTGTCAATTTTTAATTTTACTTGAACACCATTTTTTTATTATAATTTGATGTCACATGGAGCTGATTCATAAATTATAAATATTTTAAGGTAAAATTAAAACATAGTTTGTAATACACATATATTAAATTCAAATTTTAAATTTTTAAATAATCTTATTAATATTTCGGAGAAAATTATAAACTTGTGAAAAAATTAAGTAAGTTATAAACAAACGTGTCTAAATTTATGAATTATTGTGTTGCTTACGTTCCACTGCACCCTTTAATTTAAATCGTGCAGCGTCTCACCAGTTTTGGTTTCAGTACTCGAGCCGCCCTGGGCAACATACAATGTGTGTATATAATATGTATTTCATTATTTATGGGCAGGCCACACGCGCTTTTGTGCTCTGAAGTGACCAGCAGCGGCAAAACAATGCCACAGGTATAATTACAGCCGCGCGATAAAACAACAACCCTGTGTGAGGGAGACGACTAATTGCTATAACCGTAAGAGGCGTTTGAAAAATAGCACCTGATACGCGATCTGCCCACGAAAGGCAAAAAGGGGTTGCATGCGTCAGACGGCGGCGGCTTTTCGAAATTTATAAATATATTTTATTGGGAGCAAAAGAGGCGCTTTACATTTATTCGATGGCGTGAAAAAGTCGGCGCAATAAATAATTTATATTATCGCGGAGCCATGCGTTTTTTGCGCAAAAGGTGTGATGGGTGTTGTAAAACGATTTAAATTATCGCACCCTGTTTTGGGCGTATACATAAAAAGCTCATTGAATTTTGTATATACGTTTATTTTTTGTGTGCCAACCCTCAAGGAGTAAAACGATATTATATACAATCTAGTTTAGAGGTGGTTGTAAAAGTAACCATCAGCGCAGAGAGTGTGGATGAGTTTGTCTCAGGTGCGCCGCAAGTTATGAAAATGAGCTTCTTAACAAGGTGTGAGCGGGCCGAGTGATATGCAAATTTTCCACTTTGGCCACTTACGTGACGGGCACTGAGTAAATAGTGTAAAAAACATACAAAATTCCTGGGAGACAAGCGGAGTGAAAACGCTGATTATTTGCGCTACTAAATTGGGCCCTCAAGCTCTTTCAACAACTCAATATTGACCTCTTCTTCATACATGTTAAATTAATAAAATAATTAAAATGATTGCGCCATTTTTAAAGATTTTTTTTTTTTTAAATTGAGATTATAATTCAGTTTAGTTCAATTCATTTTTGTCTTCAAACAAGTCAATTGCAAAAAAAATTTATTGAGAGAAAAGGCACACAGTGCTTTTGAATATTTCACCTAACAATAAGAATAAAATAAATCAAAATTATTGTCACTTACAGATTTTGATTTTTTTCAATAATGAAAATAAGTTAACTATTTGTCCTATTCAAAAATATTAAATAAGATTATAAATATGTGATTCTTGGCTGAAAAATAATGTTAAACAAAAATTTTTGTGTAGAAATTGTGTGCTTTTCACTTGAAGCTAAATAACATTATTAAGAAATATTCACAAATCTCCAGATTCAAGCCTTTCAGAGAGAGTTAAAAAAAAATCATGGTTTTCAAGTTAATCTTTCTCTTTGACCCTGTGTCGAGATTCGTGCTTAACTTGTCGAGATCGCATATAACAACTCTCGTCTGTGCGCTTTATGAGTGTTGCGGACTCGGACCGGGTTGCGCCGCGGCTCCCTAATTATAGGTTAAAAGTTATTACCGCGTAAAAGCAAGTAATCACCCCGCGCACACACAAACAATTTCTGAACACAATCACCCTTCTCGCGCTATTTTATCGCAATATTGGCATCGCCGCGACCGAAAAAACTTTCGTGTGCGCCGCGCGCGCGTCGGGGGTGATTTTGACAAAGCGTTGAAACAGCCCGCGAGCATGCAATATCTGCATTAATTAGCATTCATTACCCACCGACCGGGCTGCAGTTTTAACACACTGATTACACGGTATTAATCGCCCGAGAGCGTGAATAAAGCATTTTGATATAATGCCCACGATAAAAAGCTGTATAGAGAAAAAAGAACAAGGCACCGGCGTGCGGTGTCGCGAAAATTGTTTGTAATACAATTTCGGTGTGTGTGCAAGTTGGAAAAATCATTACATCACAGAGCTTTGGTGAAAAAGTTATTTGATAGTTAACAATTTGGCAAAAAAAGGAAAATTAATTAATAATATATTATAATTTAATTCATTTAAATAAATAAAAATGCTTTTGTTCCCAATAACAAAAAAAAAGAAATTGAAATATTATTTGCTGAAAAAAATTGCTCCAATTCAAGTTTTACAGGCAGCGAGCGTTGATGTTTCTTTTGGGAGATGAAAATAAACGCCTATTTCTCTTTTACAGTCATGCTTGATTTTTTTATCGCGCATTGAGGAAGCGACTGCTGCGTGCCTTAGCTGTCTGGAATCCAGAAGAATTAACCAGAGGCAGAGATTTAGGCGCCCGCTTTTCAAGAGCGCTCTTAAGAAAATTTTCTGTGCGATCGAACGCGTGGCGCGGAAGAAACGAAGAAAAAAACTCGTATACGCCGATAAATTTGAAGAGATTACGCGCACCTAAACAACAATTTCTGAGACCGTCATCCTTGACCCACAATTAAGTGTTAATGAAAAAAATTGACTGGTCTTATACCGGCTTCTCAACGCACTTTTGCCATACATTCTCGGGATATTCAAATGAGAGGAATATTTTTTAACAAGATGTAAAAATTTTGATCGAGAGAGGGGAATTAGCAAAACGTTTTTTGTTTCACTCACTTAAGGGAAAATTTACTGATAAGATTACTTGCTACTCTTTTATATAGTTATAAGCAAAAAAGGATATTTATTGGAGTTGATTACATATCTTTAAAAAATTAATATTTAAAGAACATAATTATTAAACAAGAGTTTTTATAATACAAAAAATGATTTGGATTTTATTCTAGAAATGAAATCCAAGGATTGTTTATAATTAAAAAAATTGATAAACAAAACGTTGAATGTTTTAGCTTTTAAAAAAGGTTAAAAAGCATTTATTAAAAAAAATTTAATCCAAAAAGCACAAAAAATATAATAAATTAAATGGATATTTCATTCTTTTTGTAATTTGAGAAGCGATAAAATTAAAAAAAAAAAAATATCCATATGTAACGACGATGAAGATGAATTCTAGTCTTTCCATTTTAAACTCCCCACAAAACCGATAAAAATTAAAAAATTTACAAAATCCTAAAATTTTTTGATATGAGACTGTATTTTAATCAGTTTTGCTTGAAAGAAAACTTTGCAATTGGCAAACTCACCTGATCTGCTTCGGAGGACTCAGGATTGGCGTGTGGCCGTCGTCAGGGTCTGCTCGCTGGCTAGGGAGCAGGAAAAGGGTGCTTTGCCTGGCAGCGAGCGAATCAAAGTGGCGTGTCGTTCTGGAACCCGAGTGTGAAGATGGCACGGTGGCTGGCGTGAGGCGGCAGCGTGGAGGCCGTTCGGCTGCCCCCGGCGGCGCGTGCCGGGGGTGGGGGGAGGTGGCGTGCGAGGGACGGTGCGCGTGCTGCGGAGCCGCGGCGTCGAGTGGCGTCGACACGGCGTTCGCGCCACCTCCGCCACCAAACCCCCGCGACCGCCAATCCGGCGAGTCGGAAGGCGGAGCACGAGCCGCCTATTGCCGCCGTCTGCGCCGCCGATCTGCCGCTCGACCGCTCGCTGCTGCTGGACCACCGCCGCTCCACCGGAGATGATGATGATGGGAGCATCAACGCTTGCCAAATAAACCGAGCGCGCATTTGGCAGCAGACGCTTTTGAAAAGTACAAGTAATTTCATTTTTTCTTGATGAATCCTTGATCTTTTTATTACTAATTCAATATGAAGGCTTTAATCCTCTTATAATATTACTTTTTGCCGAGTTGTGCAAAATTTGGAGCTGATAATGGCTGTGTGGAATGATAAGTGGTGCAGATATTTTTTTAGCTTATTTTGAACTTCTTTCACTTCATTCAGTTAAAAAAAATGGATAAATATTAAATAATAAACTTTTTATGCAATAATTTTTGACCCGAAGGAAGAGAGAGTCACTGAAAATGGAAAAAATAAAGGGAATTTTTTGCTTGAGTTATAAGCCAAAATTTATCTGACAATTAATGAACAATGTTCTCGGAACAGTCAGTCTGGTTCATATATACATTTTTTGCAATTTTGACGTTTGGTTAAAAATCAAAACTTATAAAATAAATCACTAGGCTTATTTTCTTTTCTCATCGCAAAAAAACTAAGAAAAAAATTTAAAATTGGTCTGAGCTCTGACCAATTTTAAATTTTTCCTACCTAGGTTGCACTAAAAGGCATGCTTGACGTCCAGTAAAAATAGCATAAAACTTACTTTGTGTTATGTAATATTCATTGTCAGAGTCAGAGATGTTAGCCAGTATATTTGAAACATTTAGTTTCACTGACTGAAAATACAGCATTCTTTCCAGGACCATAAACATAATTTTAGTGAATTAGTTTTTTTACTTTAGCTCTTTTTTGGCAGAGCAAGGTAATCTATTACAGTTTTGCACCTGGATCGTTCATCATCTTTTTTTTAAAATTCAGTTTCGTTAACTCCACATGAGCAAAACTAAAAAAGTGATAGTGAAAGATGATGTTGGGCACGGAGTGGAGATTTTAGGAATGGAGAAGTAAGAAGTGGCACGCGCGCGATTCAGCCAAGAGTCCTTGACGTCAGTCGCGAGCGCGGCTTAATCGCCACCAATAGGCAACTGGACCACTGCCTGCTCACTTGCAAAAAACCACTTGCGCTTTTAATTAATTTTAATACAGGACATGCCTCTTTAATTTCAATAGCCTGCGCTCAAAAATAAACTTCATGCGGCAAAGAAAATACACGGCGCAAATTTTAATTGTTTTTATCTCCCAGTAAATGATAAATTATATTAAAACTGAAAAACAAATTCAATTGTTCCCTATGTTAAGTTTATGAGACTTTGATAACTTAAACGTATTTTTTTATAGTCAAAAATAATGAGAGATTCTAAATATGATGAATCTACTTTTGAGCCGTATATCGATCGACTTATCGGTTTTATGACAGCAAAATTCTTAAAACCTGCAGGATTAATTCTTTTGATTGCACCTAGAAAATATGAACACAAGATTTCTGATTTCTTTAAAATTATTTCAAAGAATTCGTATTTATAATATGCAATTTCTTAAACATCATGTTATTGAAGCAAGCAGGGTTTGCGTTTACTCCTCTTTTGAAATGTTTTGTCTAAACCTTTCTGCTTATGACCAATTTACAATTTTCGTCAGCTTGACTTGAGAACATGAATATGAATAAACAATGTAATTAAATAAGAACATGATTAAAATGAGACAAATTATAAATTTTACCTTTCTTAGATTAACTTTTGCAAGTATCAAGAAAATTTGAAACTCTCTATGATAATGCAAGATTTACATCTTTCTTGACTCTTCTGAATTATTTTATTGAATGCGATAAAATGTTAAAATATTGTGGGTAAAATGTTATCACACTGTGGGATCAGAGATCGTACCTCACAAGTACGCACACGCGCGCGATTCAAGCTCGCGACTCGACGTAATTAAAATATACATATATACGCTATCTTCTACCCCTGATCGCAGAGGAGCGCTAGTCCACACCCAGGTGGTTCCATTTTTTGTCCAAAATAGGTGGGACTTGGACGGTACAAGAGCGGAGGCAGGTGCTCTCAGGGCAATCGCCCCCGGACACGGAGAGACACTCGACAACGATTATCCTCGAGCGCCGCAATTATATCGCAGCCAAATCAAGCCTCAAACAAGAAATATAATGCGCGGTAATAGAAGGCCACTCGCGAGCGAGCGAGCGAGCTCAATCTATTTTATCCATTTTTATATATATGTGGAAGAGAAGAAGCCGATGGAGCGCGCGTGCGGTTGCTTCTGCGGAAAAGGCACGTACGCTGCGTTTTCATGCAGCTTGACTTAATTAGTTTGTTTTGTTTCCTCAAAAATTTCATAAAAAATTTCTCCAGATAATTTATTTTATTTCTCGAGAAAATTGAATATTTAATAAAATTTTAAATTATATTTTGTCAAAAAATTTTCAACCTTGGCAACTTGCCTGTATCAAATTTGGTTACACTGTCAAGTGCTATAATTAATTCTTCTATACAAAAATCAGCCTGTAAGGACAGAACGAGGAGGCTTCCATTATTTAATAATATACACACACCCCTCTCAAGAATATGGCTCGCACGTGTATAGCCAAATTAACGATCAAATCAGCAGCACGAGAGATGGGGAATTACAGTCCAGATAGAAACAGAATCACGTGAAGCAGGTGATATTGCTTCCACCAAAATCTTTTCTGTTTTGCCGCCGCCGCAAGATGCTAATGAAAAAAAAAACCATCGTCTAGACAATAGGCACGCGGCCATTGCGAATTATGTTTGCTCCTTCAGTTTTTTTTATATGTGTGAATTACTTTATGTATTAATTAAGTCAACCACATCCTAATGTGTTGCAGATCAGTAAGATATTTTGTGAGAAGAATTTATTTAAATTTTCTGCTTCAAAAAGTGTTTTGCAAATTAAAATTTATATAATATACGATAAATTAAATTATGGAATTTTCAAATTATCCAAAACTGTTTGGAATTTTTCAATAAAATAATCTAGGCCGTGCCTTCAATTTAAAGCGAATTCTGCACAAATTTTTAACTAAGCAAAACTAATTTTCTTTCTATTATACTTTGCGATTTGATTTCTAGGCTGCAAATGAGGAAGGGAGGTACAAACGAAGTCATTAACTTGAAGAAGAGTTATGATTATACGACGTGCTGTGTGTATTAAATTGTACTCGCGTTCTACTCCTCCCTCTCTCTCCGTCTTCGTTCTCATTTAACTTATATAATCCTAGGTTTATATTATAGAGTTGAATATCTAAGAGTGAAATTTAATTGTCTTTACCCGCGTATTTCCTTTTGCGCTGTGATTAAAGTTGATCAAGTATAATGCCTATAGACATTAGTTTTACCTTTTGCTCTTTGGAAAATTTATTTAATTGAATATCACCAGAGAATGCTAAAAATTAAGCTTGATTATATCAGATCTGTTTCTGTTATATTAAATTTGCATAAAATTTTGAAAAAAAATCGCCTTTTTCGGCCCTTCCTTTTAATTAAACACGATAGTTTCGTGATTATGAGTTATGATAGCTATTTCTTTATGATATTAAGACGTTTCCTTCTTATTCGTTAGTCGCAGGAGATTATCTAAAAAAATATTATTTGTCATATCTGGCTCGCGAATAGAAAAGCTCTCCTGCTGATTAATAGAGTGGTTCGCGGCTTCCTTTTTGTGCGAGCAGACCTAAATAAAACATAACTCATTCGGCGACATAAGTGTCGTGTTGTTTTTTTGTGTGTGAGAAGTCTCCAAGTGTTGTGAATCGGCGCAGGTGCGAGTCGGCGGCGGTGGCATTTATTTATTATAATATGCGGCAAAAACACGCGCCGGCAGAATATATCCCACTGACAGAGCGACAAGTATTTACAGACAATAACCCTATTAACTGGACTCATTCGCTTTTTTTTATCAAATTAAGCTCAATTTTCGTTTTTCTGTAAAATTGAACTTGGATTTTTTTCTTAAAATAGACAAGTCTATATAAAAGGCTGCACGCGTGCATTTCATCAAGTTTTTTCCTCCTGGTTTGCGTGATTTTGGAACCCAAACCCGGCGCATGTAATTAGCCACAAGAGGCCCATGCAAGTTTGTGGCTCCGAAACACCTGTTTGTACCTTTTGTGCACCCATTAACCTCCAGCAGCGAAGAGTGTTGTGGTTATTTTCTATACTTTCGTCAAGTCTGAATGGACCTTCCTTTCTGTGTAATAAAATTATTATATAGAGGAAGGAACAAAATATAAAAAACCTCATCCCTTTCCAGCTTTTGTGTTGTTTTTAGGTCGCAATCGTTTGAAGATGTGCCTCTATTAGTTTTGAGAAAAACGTTCTGATGTGTAAAGGCCTCTTTAATAGCGTGGAGATGTATAGATGATGCGGTTTCCCCACTGCGGAGAATTTAATTGGCATGCTGGTCGAAATTTTTCAAATTTTTTAGGATATACGTAATGTGGAAAGGGTCCAAATTTTACTTACAATGAGTCAGAAGTGAAAATTTTAATTTTGTCAAGATTGTTATTATTATTTTTTTCTTTAATTCTGAATCTTTTTCTTTTTCGATGATATTAGGAAATAAAGCGATAAAATGTAAAGTAGATGGTTTCACCGACTCGTTTTAAGTTATGCGAATTATTTAATGGTATATCTTTCGGTAAATTTGCTTCCATCAAAATAATGACGCCGAATTATAATCTAAACACAATCCTCACATTTCAAATCACAGCCTGTTATTGTATT